AAGACATCTAAGGTTCTCAGTAAAATATATCATTAACATGTCCTTATTTTCATCTTCAATAAATACTGAATACCTAGTTTCTGCAAATAATAGAAACACAATGTACACACAATATACAATGGTATTTATCCATGAATTCAGTGTAAAATCCACTAGGAAAGATAATTAGTAATTTCCTACTTGAAATGAGGAAATATTTAATTCAACATGTATAAAATCATACAAAAAGCTTGAAATTATTCTGGACAGTACACTCAAAACTGCTAAAGAGAAAAAAAAATACTTACAGAAGAAAGTTTTTAAGATACAATATTAAGGCCTTTTTTTTTTTGCTTTGGTATGATGACAGGCAGCCAGTAAATGACAAGCTTCACAATTGAGGTTCAGTAGTCCAAAAGAGCTAAGCAAACACCTCTTACATATAAAAGTACTATAGCTATAACATGGTCCCCGAGTTTGATGTAGGCCCTCACAGTAGCCATGACAGATTGGAAGTTAAAGAGGGATCTCTAAGGTATCTGTCTCAGAGAACTGTTGGCAAAACTGAACAACATACTACTTTTCAATGATAAACATTCCAAATTTAGCTCATCCTGGGAACCAGGGAAAGAAGGTAGCATAATAGGAATCACCCAGTCTAGGAATTTACAACTTACAGAGCCAAAAGTAGTTTATATAGAATAATGTGAGAATAATTACATGTAATAGTAGTTACTTATACAGAAAATATGAGAGCTGGGAGATTAGATAAACTTAAAACTAAGTAGAATTTTTACTTAGTAAATGCCAAATCAGACAAGTCAACAGTGGGTAATATTTCTTTAAATCCTTAAATTTAAAAATTCAAATGTTACTAATTTTATACTTTAGATTCAGCATATGTCCAACCAGAGGATGAAAATCACTGAATAACTCACTCACAAAAAATAATAAAATTTACCAGAACTGTGAATTTAGAAGGTACTACCAAAATTTAGGTAATTTCACTGACAATAAATGGTTCTAGAGTTTTTTATTTTATCGTTTGTAAACATAGGATAAATATATCAACTTTAATACTGGAATTTAACTGGAAGACTTCAGTCAGGTTAGAAAATTAAAGATAAATGCATTTAGGACATTATGGCAGTTTGCAAACTTTTCCTTCCAATTCTAAACTACATGTTCTATCAAAACATTCAAATATGCCAGGTGATGGTGACTTATACCTGTTATCCCAGCTATTCAGAAGACTGAGATAAGAAGAATGCAGTTCGAAGCCAACCTTAGCAGGAAAAATTCTTATCTCCAATTAACCAACAAAAAGCCAGAAGTGGAGCTGTAGCTCATCAGGTTTGTGCAAAAATGCTAAGGGACAAAGACCAGACCCTGAGTTCAAAACCCAGTACAAGCATATAGGTACACACACACATAACACATATATGTATACACACACAACAACAAAAAACTAAAATACATCTAGTATTCTCTATTGAGATCAATTTTTTATGACTCTTTAAAAAGTCCTTTCTTCCAGATCATATAAAATTATGTACCTGAATCTTCTATCAAATACATAAAGAAGTTCACATTCTAAGACAACATAAAATCAAATAATATTTGTATTCAATCTTAAATTAGGCAAATATATTTTTGTATTTTTATACTATCATGTACTTGACTAAGCAGCTTGCAAATAATAACTGTATAATAAACTAAGCCATATATTAATAAACATGTCAAATAAGCTTGAGAACCCAGATCTAGAACTATACAATCTGCATGTGATCTGGGAGATAAAAGGCTACATATATTGCTGTGGGAGACCGGAGGAGGAGGTAGTAAAGAGACTATATAGGAATATTATATAATATATAATTATAATTATATAATATAATCTATTTTATATAATATAGATTATAATATTCCACCATTGAAATTAGCAACATAAAATCATTATGTAATCTGTTAGAATAGTTTGTATAAAGACTTTTTTCATATTTTTAATCACTTTCTCCAAAGTGTGGCCATTATTTGCCATTAAATTGATCTCATCAAAAATGAAGTAAATTTTCAATACTTTTTTATTTTTTGGGGGGAGGTCCCGTCATGGGGCCTGAACTCTGGGCCTGGGTGCTGTCCCTCAGCTCTTCAGCCCAAGGCTAGCACTCTACCACTTGAGCCACAGCGCCACTTCCGGCTTTTTTCTTTTTGCTTATGTAGTGCTGAGGAATCGAACCCAGGGCCTCAGGCATGCAAGGCAAGCGCTCTACCACTGAGCCACCTTCCCAGCCCAATTTTTCAATACTTTTATGTTCCACTTGCTAGTATTTTCAGTAGGTTCTGCTGAAATTATTTTTTTTAAGATTTAATTTCCTACCTTAGACCCTGAATACAATCCCAAAAAATTTTGTTTCAGTGTTAAAGTAGCATATCCAGATAACCATAACATTATGGTAGATTTTCAAACATGGAACATTAAAGTCTACAGGACTCAGATTTTGTATGGAGAGGTTTATGGTCTCTGAAATATTCAAACATATTTCTCTCAGGGAGAAAGAACATGGTCAACTTATTTCTCAAAAGAAATGACATATAGTAATTATCACCCTCTCTAATCCAGCTCCAGCTGGGGCATATCAATTAGTGGGTGGTCTCAGCATGTGGGAAGCCCTGAGATGAATACTAGTACATACAGAGAAGGCATCAATAGTTGTGAAAATATACACGTTAATAAATGTAATAAACGTATTATGATTTGTGTTCATTTTTATGACTTCCTTAAGGAATGAGCCATTTTCTAAAACATTACTAATGATTACTTTTTCAGAACTTACATTCTTTTCTGGTAATTTGTAATTTCTTAAATTATTTATTGCTGGCCTCAAAGCACAATCATTAGATCTCCAGTCTCCTGAGTAGTTAGGATTACAGATTACAGTTTCTGGCTGAATTCTGTAAGCATTCTTTTAGTAGAAACACATGGCCTTTTCAAAAACCAAGAATTTATTTTCCTGATGTATTATTTTATTTGTCCTTTGAAAAGTGATTTAATATAGATTTTTCTAGTTTAGTGTTAACACATAAAATATGTAATCTGGCATTTACATACTAATAAAACATTAATGTAACTATTACTTAATTTTACTTAATTAAATTTACTTACTTAAATTTTACTTAATTTTAACAAAAAAAGGGGGTTATTAGACAAGATACCCTGACAGGATGGAAAATCAGCCTAAATAAAAGTCTAGAAGATCACACAATTTGACCACCCTATTATTACACATTATATATACAGTATTGTATTCTTCTTTGCTTCCTGACAAAGACTTTCCAAATACCAGTTTGGTACAAAAGTAGAGACCTAAAGCTATGATCCCTGACATTCCCTCAAGGTCTGTATCAAGCTCTAAGCCTCACGAACAGATTTCAGTTCTTCCAGGCATCTGCCTCTTACTAAACTTTCTTCATATATTTCCCTTAATATTTGTTTTTAGGTATACATAGGGCTATCAATAATATCCTATTGACCTTGAGTCTTTAAGTCATTACAAATGAGTTCTATGGGTGAGAAGTCTAAATTTCTGTGCATCTAATTAAAACAAAACAACAAAACCACAAACAAAATATTCTGGGCTGGGAAGATGGCTCAGTGGTAGAGTGCTTGCCTTGCATGCATGAGGCCCTGGGTTCGATTCCTCAGCACCACATAAGCAAAAAGAAAAAAGCCGGAAGTGGCACTGTGGCTCAAGTGGTAGAGCACTAGCCTTGAGCTGAAGAGCTGACGAACAGCGCCCAGGCCCAGAGTTCAGGCCCCACGACCGGACCCAAAAAAAAAAAAATATTCTTTTTAGTAAGCTGTTTTTGCTTATTTATTTAACATGAGGATGTGCGCTTCACCTGAAACAGAGTAGCCTCAAATCCATAGTCTATTGAGAAGACCTAATATGTTGATTAAAACTACCTGTAGAAACTTCAGAATTGTGCAGGTTGTACATAAATTCAAAAACTCAATAATGAAGATAGCTGAAGCAAATTCCTGTCAACTCTGAGCAGTGGTAGTACTAGCTCTGCAGTACTTTACATTAACAGCACAAAGAAAAGAACGGATTTTAACTTTATCTTTTACTTAGGGTATTTATTTTTCTATTTTGTTTTATAATTGTACTGAAACTCTAATAAAGATAAAACTCAAGTTTTCAAAAGCTATGCAAAGCTATATGATAAATTCATGTGACTCATCTACCCTATGAAAGTAATGGAATTATGAAAAATGCATGTTCCTCTTTTGCTTCTTTTAACTATATTGACAGTTGAACCCAAAGCTTCAATTTCTTGGAAGATACTACTTCAGCCAGAAACCCAGGACATTTTCTTGCTCTAGTTATTTAGTCCAGTGTCATGATTTTATCAAAAGACAACAGTTTCAGAGTGCAATCTTCCTACCTCTGACTCCTATACAGCTGGGATTACAGATAGGCATCAATATGACCAGTGTGCCAGATGCCAAATACGGCACAGAACCAAGATCCTCCTGTTACTACCAGGTTAACTGGGGTTATAGTTGTGAGCCACTATGACAAGTTAACTGCTCTCTTCTTATATCCATTTGTATTATATTGATAGTATAAATAGCAATAATAAATTTGCTTTGATTAAATACCTATAAATTTACTCCCAAACAAGAAAAAAAAATTTTTTTTTTTTGGCTGCAGTTGTGGGGCTTGAACTCTGGGCGCTGTCCTTGTGCTCTTCAGCTCAAGGTGAGCATTCTACCACTTGAGCTACAGTACCACTTCCTGTTTTCTAGTGGTTTATTGGAGATAGTCTCACGGACTTTCCTGCTCGGGTTGGCTTTGAACCGTCATTCTCAGATCTCAGCCTCCTGAGTAGCCAGGATTACAAGCATGAGCCACCAGCGCCCAGGCAAACAAGAAAACTCTTAATTAAATCTAAACCATGCAGTATTCTCACACACAAAAATGAATTTCCCTCCTTTATTAAGTTCTTATTTTAGGTTATACCCTCAAAACAAGGTATGTCATTGGAAAAAAAAAGTATGACTATTTTCTTCTGCTTCCAATATCTATCCTAGGTGATCAGAAGCAAAATTAAAAATAAAAACTTAATATGTACAATATATCATCACATTGAATTTTTGGTCAAAAGGTTCTTTTATAAACTAAAATTCCTAATTAAATCCAGGACAAGCAAACAGATGCTGGTGGCAGGAAATAAACTTCAAAGCAACTATGTCATTAATCTGGCAACTCAATTTTTTATCTAAAACCTAATAACACAAATAAAAGGTGAAAAAGTTCAAAAAAGATTTATGTTAGGATGTGGAGTATATGTACAGAGAAAATATGTGTATGTTAAATTTGGATTTGGGTTTTACGTTGTTTTTTGAATAGGAGAATAATCAATGCCAAATCTATCAAGGGAAAAATAAAACTAAAAATTGCGCACACCTTTAAATTATCAATAGTGTATTCCCTTTTTCTGGTGTTACAATAAATTCTCTTATAAAGCTATTAGCTAAAATGTAGGTAAGACTAAGTTCTGTCTTGGGAGCAGTATTTATTATTGCCAAAATGTTAAAGATTATAACAGACACTTTTTTGGACCAAAGCAGGTAACTGAAAAATGTTTTCCAAATATTTACAGAGGTAGTAAATTTTTCTCCCCTTGTGAAGTTTTGTACTTAACAATGTAAACAGAATTTTCTAAAATGAAAATACTGGGTTTACATCAAACATCTCTAAACTATTTTTAAGTTATTTTATCTTTTAAACAGTATCATGAGATGCATTTGTAAAATGACCTGTAAGATTTTAACACTGTCAATTGTTTGCTATATGGAAGTTATAGATAATATTCACTAAATAAAATGAAAATATTACCTGATTTGTAAGGCACACAGTTAGCTACAACATCTAAAGTGGGATTTATTAGGTAAACTGCAATTAAGTTCTCAAAACATTTGTGTAACTCAGTTAGAAATGGGCAAGTATTCATATAACATGGCAGTACAGAAAGGCATTTAACTGTCATTCCTTACATCTGAAATCACGAAATTACTGATGCAGCACTTGGAAGAGGTTCTGTAGAGATTTACTAAGCTGACATACAGTGCTCAGTGTTTTACAGGGTTAGGCAAACTCAATTCTCTTTTGCTCACTAATGACTCATTTCCACCACCCAAAGACTGGTCTCCAGTCCCACTTTCCAAAGGCTGCCTTATATTAACTCTTCCTTCATTGTTACCACACAAAGAAATAACATTATAAAAGGCCTCCAGATCACTCTGTTCAAATGTAACTGCTGGTTTCAGTACTGTTCCAGGAGCAATGGAACTTTCCCCAACAATTCTCAGGTTGATAAATTTGATTTTCCAAGTATTCTCCACAAAAGGGCACCGGATGAGTCCAAAAATTTGTTCAAAAATTCCCAGACAACTGTTTCCTCGGTGAACAGTCCCTGCAACTCCCACCATAACTAACCCATGGGGTGAAGAAGCACACTTCAGTCCATGGGAATCTAGGTTGGGATTGAGAAAAAGGAATTCTTCTTTTACTAGTGACAGCAAACGAAGGCTCACAAGTTCTGCTCCATGGTAGTCTATCACATTTTGTTCTGAGGTATTATAATGAAACCTAAGCTTTACATCATGCCAGAAGTGCTGTGGCCCCCATTCATCTTGAGGTGGTCCCAGAAAAGGATTCTGAGAATTAAGAAGTTCAAAAAACCATTGACAGAATTCTTCTCCAAGGCGGCGAAAATCGACTTTCTCAGCTTTTTTATCTTCTTTTCCCTGCTGATTAAAAACAAACAAAAAATAAAGCTAAGGCTTAACTAAAATCTACTTTTCTGTCTACCTGCTACATGTCAAGTTTCTAATGTACAGATTCCAGAAAAGGGAATCAGAATACCTGCGAACTCAAATCACTGAACAGGCATAGGAAAATGTTTTACAAAGTAAGGAAAATCATTTTAGTTTAGAATTTTTCAAGTTATGTAGCTTGAAGTTCAGCTATATAAGTTTAACTTGCTCCTGGGTGCAAGAAATGATTGGCAAGCTTTACTGGGGGACAGACCTGCGGGGCTGCTCCAGGCAGGAATGGAGGCAGCAGCCATGGACAGGTATGGGCTGAATTTAAACAAAATTTAAGGGGGCAGTCACGTGGGTCACATTACATGGACTGTAATTACATGGAATTTGCGGGTAGAGTCATATTCCGACAAGGAGTGTAATGAGACTGTTGGAACTGGGGCGGGAATTTGTATATCACACCAGGAAAGCAATACAGCATCAGGGAAATCGAAATTTAACAGATTCCTGTAAACAGGGACACAGGGCAGGAACTTAATTTGAAAGCTAACTCAGACCTGTTACTGGGTATGTGAAATGATGTCCTCAAGTTCCAGTTATTCAGGAGGCTAAAGTATCAAGTTCACTTAAGCCCAAAATAAACTAGTAGGTAAACTCTTTTTCTTTTTCTCCTATTGTCCAAACCCAGAGCTTTGCATGTGCTACTGCTATCATTGAGCAGTCTTGAGTCTCTTCAACATTTTTTCCCTGATATAGAATATCACTATTTAGCCCAGGCTGGCCTGAAAACTCCCAATTTTCCAGCCTAGCTTTCCAAGGTATATATTTCCAGATATATATTTCAACCAAAGTTGAAATATACTCTCTTAAAAAGCAATTATAAAACAGTAAGAAAGGATTCATTGGTGTAAGTTTCTCTTGTGATTTCAAAATCACACACATTCTACCTGTTAAAATTTTCAAACATTGTATTTCAAGCACACTGAGTTAAATTACATGCCAAAAAAGTTGATAGAATTTTTACCTTCCCTAAAATAGATTGAAATAAGCATCAATTCATTTTCTATGACTGGGATAGATTTTATGCTCTCATTTCTTTTTTTTCAAGGAGAATGTCTATATAAAACCATACCTAATAGCGATCTGAGTATTATGGAACACGTATCACATTTAGATAATAAGAGCTTATGTTTACTGAGGACTTCATATTGAATATATCAATGCATTGCACTTAAGCACACTTCCTATGTTCACAATGAGCCTATGACACAGAAGCTAAACCCACAGCCTGCATGCACACAAAAATCTACCTCTAAGCTATACCCCCTTAGCCCTATAACAGTCATTTTACAAAGGAAATAAGGCTCAGAAAGGTCAAATCATTATTTGCCAAAGTTCACCTAGTATAGACATTAACTTGAAATAACATCCTTATGGTTTCAAAGTCAATTCTCTTTTTAGCATAATAATTTTTTAAAAGCCTTAGAAGATCCTTTCTAATGTGAAAGCAAAGTAATTACCTAGAGTCCAAGCAATTTCAAGAGGTGGGGAGGAGTAAGTGTATGGGGGGAGGACTTTACAACAGCTTTCTGTTAAAAGTGAAGAAAACTGTTATATAACAATATGAAATGATCCAAACAATGTGCCAATGGCTAATACCTGTAATCCTACCTACTCAAGAAGCTAGTTCAAAGCTAGCCCAGGAAGAAATAGCCAAGAGTTTCCATCTCTAATTAATCACCAAAAGGTTGGATTGGGTGACTGGCTCAAGTGGTAAGAGTACCAACCAAAAAAGATGAGTAAGCATGAGGCCCTCAATTCAAAGCATAATACTGGCATAAATAAATGATTTTATAGTTTAATCTCTAAAAATCCAAGTCTTCATTTGATAATGGAAAAAAAATCTTTCTTGAATATTCTGGTGCCCTGGATCTTGTATATACATTTTCTGATTTGGGGAAGGGAAGGAAGGAAAATAACAAAATGCTGAAACAAGGATACAGGTTGACCCATCATAACAATGAGACGTACAAGATACTATGTTGAAAATGAACCTTACTCATGTAACTTATGTAACCCCTCTGTACAGTATCTTTACAATGAAAACATTAAAACAATTTTACACATCACTAAATGTCAGAAATCTTTTGTCTGTTATTGGTCTTTCTTTAGGATACAAAGGATGTAAAATAACAACTTGAAAATACGTATTTTTGAACCACATACACTCAGATCTATATTATTTGCAGTTTCAGACAGATCAAAGGTTCAGAATATAACTACAAAATCAAATTTACCTGTTGAAAGAGTTGAACATCCTCGGTCTTTGTAGCTAACTCTGGTGCTTCCTTCAGTTTCAGCTGTGACTGCCTTTTCCAGTAATCCTTTGCATGCTGAATAAGATTGTGTTTTTCAGTGGTTGGGGGTATAATAAGCCCCTGTGTTGCCAAGTACTTAAAAATGACTTCTCGATGGACTTTTCTACGCTTCAGAAGTTCTTCTACACTTTGGCTATATACTAATATTGCATGAATAGCATCTAAGAAGAAAATTACAATGATTAATTCAACATCATGAGGCACTTAAAAAATTTGTCAAGTATCAGCCCACGTTCTACTGAACAGCATTTAAGCTTGTCTTCGTTATTTAAAAGCAGGAAGTGGATTGTCAGATTTTCCATTATGCTCTTACTTGTTACTTGAAAAAAATTCTTTTTCTTGCACTTCTACTAAATAGTAAAATTCTAGCACATTCTTTTAAATGAATTATTTGAAAGTATGAACAAAAAATTATATTTTCTAAGACCAAAAGGTCTAAACTCATACATCCCTAAGAATCATAGAATTATAGCACTGCCATTCCAATCTCTTTATTTAACATATAAGAAAAATGAGGATACATGAGGTATGAACAATTAATTTCTAGGAAGCGACAAAAAATAAGATATTTTTCACTTTTAAAAGAATGAAAAAAAAAGCATTCAAGTATTATAGCAGTTGCCTGTTAAGCTAAAGTCCCGAATTCAAACTCTATCCTGGCACATAAAGCAAATGCAGATAAAACACAAATCAAACATTTCTGATGATGTCTACAAAAATGGCAGTGAAAGTACTGCTTTAAAAGTACTCCTAGAGATTTGAAGATAAGGTCATTACTAGTATCTTTGAGGCTCCCACTTCACCGAGTGCTCGTTTTTTCACCTATCTCACAGAGCAGCTACTATTCTAGACTTATATTTCTTATACTGTGTAGAATAAGTATGTATCCTTAAAAATATGTATGACACTTTGAAAATGTTTTATAGACAGGTGCTAGTGGCTCTTGCTTGTAATCCTAGCTACTCTGGAGGCTGACTTCTGAGTATCAGAGTTCAAAGCCAGCTCAGGCAGAAAAGCCTAGAGACTCTTATCTTCAATTAATTAATTATCTTCAATTAATTAAATGATGGTAGTAGAGCTGGGTTTCAGGTAGTAAGTAGCATGCTAGTCTTGAGCAAAAAAAAATGTTCAGGGATAGCAACCAGGCTGTGAGTTTGAGCCCCAGGACTGGCACCAAGAAAAACAAATGATATATAAATTCTACCCATTTATGTGTATACACAGTCTTCTGTAATTAGCTTTTGTTTGAGACTAAAGTATTGGATATATGTAGCTCTAGTTAATTCATTTTCAGTGATACTATAGTTATAGAACTATAGAATTCCAAGGTACCTACTTATTTAAAGACTTATTATTGCTAGTTAGAACAGTCTCATATGTATTTCCCAGTACACAAAGGAATCAGTAAGAGAAGCATCCCTTAAGAGCTTATGAGTAATGCAGAATTTTGTGCCTTCTCCAAAACTAGTCATTCAGAATATTTTTTTAAATAAAATCCCGTTGAGGTTTGCATATGCAAAGATTCCCACAGGTTCAGTTAGTTAGCTGTGGTCCTCCAACTGTAAATGCTACTAGAAACAGAAAGATGGTGACTAATGGGAGAAGTAGGTCATTGGAAACGTGTTCCTTCCAGCTTTAAAACTTATTCTTATGCTCCCACTGATTCCCATCATAAGGAGAAAACACCTTCTCCCTGAGCTTCTGCAGTCATGATAGTCTGCCCCAGCATCAAGACTGAACCCTCAGAAACCATAAGATAAAATCAGGCTTTCTTTTTCTAAGTTGTTCTCTTAGGCATTTCAGTCATAGCAAAGCAAAACTAACACAATTGTCTAGCCCTAGTCTACCATTATACGTAAGATCTGTCACTATAGGAGGTAATGTCAAGCTTGTTTTTCAGTTTGGTAGCTCTAATTTATATCCCATCCATTAGTTGTCAAAAAAGTTATGTGATGGTGTCAGGCGGGCGTCAGTGGCTCACGCCTTATAATCCTAGCTATTTAGAAGGCTGAGATCTGAGGACAGAGGTTCAAAGCCAGCCTGGTCAGGAAGCTCCATGAGACTTTGATCTCCCAAAAAACCCACTGGGAAAACCAGAAGTGGCATTGTGGCTCAAGTAGTAAAGTGCTAGCTTAGAGCTGAAGAGCTGAGGACAACACTCAGACCCAGAGTTCAAGCCCCCGAACCGACAAAAAAAAAAGAGCTATGTGATGGCCAACATGTGAACTTTTTCTTGGTACCAAGAAAAAGACACCTAGTATTTTGGTTTGTACTTCATTGCTTTTGAAAGAGGTTTTGTTTTTATATGCCTATTTTTTTTTTCTGAGAAATCGTCCCTTAAATTTTTTAAACAAATTGTTATTGGGAAATATTTTTCTCTTTATTTGCTTATTCACTTCTACTTAAATCCAGCATTTTAGCAGGGCACCAATGGCTCACACCTGTAATCCTAGCTACTCAGGACACAGAGATCTGAAGATCGAGGTTCAAAGCCAGCCCAGAAAGGACCGTCCCTGAGACTCTAATCTCCAATTAAGCACCAAAAAAACTGGAAGTGGCACTGTGGCTCTGAGTGCAGGCCTTGAGCTGAAGAGTGCAGGGACAGCACTCAAGCCCAGAGTTCAAGCCCCAGGACGGACCAAAAAAAAAAAAAAATCAAGTATTTTTATCTATCATAATTTTAAATTTACATTAGCCATGATCTTAAGAAGGGCAATTACTATGGAAAACACAGATATGCTTAAGAACTATATTAACCTAAAATGATTTTCAATCTGAGTTTCTTTTTAAATTATATTTTTGTAAGTAGGTGCACAAAAGTGTAGTTGCTATTCAACAAATTAGTTTATGAGTACAAAACATTTTGATAGAAACATTTTAACATTCTCCCCTATCCCTCCCAACCCAAAGTTTATAGGAATGGCTCCCATTAATGTTCATCATTAAATGTTCCAAATGACTTGAAATCTACTCACCTCACAATGTGTATTCCATTCTGAAATTAACCAATTTCTGGAACAACAAAATCATCTTGGAAAAACCTTGGCCTCCAAAAAAAATGTGCTTTTCTGTCGGTCGTGGGGCTTGCACTCAGGGCCTGGGCACTGTTCACTGAGCTCGTTTTTGCTCAAGGCTAGCACTCTACCATTTTGAGCCACAGCACCACTTCCGGTTTTCTGGTGGTTAATAGGAGAGTCTCAAGGACTTTCCTGCACCAGCTGGCTTCAAACAGTGGCATTCACCATCTCAGCCTCCAGAGTATCTAGGATTACAGGCCTGAGCCAATAGCGCCCAGCAGAAAAAGTGTGTGTGTGTGTGTGTGTGTGTGTGTGTGTGTGTGTGTGTGTGTGTGTGTGTGTGTGTGTGTGTGTGTGTGTGTGTGTGTGTGTGTGTGTGTGTGTGTGTGTGTGTGTGTGTGTGTGTGTGTGTGTTACAGTTTTTAGCTAGGAGACTGATCTAAAAGTGTCTGTGAATTCCCTCACCCACCCAAGCTTGAAAACAGCCGAGCCAGCAGCTTGCAAAAATGAAGGGTGACCTCAGTAGATGAATGGATCAAGAAATGCCACATATATATATACATACATACAATGGAATTCTAATCCTCCATCAGAAAGAATGACATCGTCCCATTTGTTAGGAAATGGAGAGACTTGGAAAAATGATATTATGTGAAGTAAGACAGGCCCAAAGAAACATAGGTCCCATGGTTTCCCTTATTTGCAATAACTAGTATACATCTAGGGCAAGCAGAAAAGGTCAAAAGCTATGTACATATGAACAGATGAGATGATGGTAAGCAAAATGAACCCCCAAGATAGGGATACAAATATTCTTTTTCTTTCATACTATTGTTTCTAACATATTTATAATGTACCACGCGATTTTTTGGTTTCTTTGTATGTTCCTCCCCCAGTTTTCACTGTATTTGATGTCGGTGCCCTGCATCTTGTATATACATTTCTCTAATTTGGGGAGGAGAAGGGAAAAAACAAAATGTTTAAGTAGGGATACAGGTGGACCCATTGTAACAATGAGATGCACAAGCCACTGTTGAAAAATGAACTTTACAATTTGGTCGTGGAGGTGGGAGGTAAGTAAGGGATGGTAGGGGAAAAACAAAAGAGGAGGCAACAATGATTGATAAGAAATGTACTCATTATTTTGCTCATGTAACTGTAACCCCTCTGTACAATATCTTTACAATAAAAACAAAAACAAAAACAAGAAAAAAAGAAATGAGGGGCGAGTAAGCGATCTGGGCTCAAGGCTGTGTTGGGCGACAGGCCTAGTGGGAATGGAGGCAGCAGCAGCGCACGAGCAGCGGAACTGAAACAAAATTTTGGGGCAGTCGCATGGGTCACATTAGATGGACCGTGAGAACTGGGGCTGAGAGTCAGTTCGGAGGTGTCACGTGAGCAGGAACTGGGGGAGTCTCCTTCTGAGCAGGTAAGTGGGGCGGAAATCAGTATCGGGAAATAGAAACTTAAGAGACATGTGTAAACCCGTAGGGCTACGGAGCGGGGACTTGAACCGCAAACTGACTCCGAGTCGTTAGCCTTCTTCCTCTTCACCCGATCCACACAGAGTATTAGGGGAAGAAAACGGGGTTGAATGGAAATCGCAAAAAAAAAAAAAAAAAAAAAAATGACTGACGCCCTCGGAATCTTCGAACCAGCGAACTTCCCCCCTGCCGCTTAATGAAGAAAACCTGGAACCCGCGCCCCGGCCGGCTCCCCCACCTCCTCCGGGCGCCCGGGCGGCCCGGGCCGGCGCCGGGATTCCAGAACCGCCCAGCGGCCGCGGTGACTGGCACGGCCCGGGATTCCGCCAAGCGGGGCAGGGGACCCAGTGGGAGCCCGCACTCCGGATACCCGATGCCACATCCGCCCCCCACCCTCCGCTTGGGGCTCGGGCAGGGCCGGGGGGGCGCCGCCCGCGGAGCGAAGTCAGTCAGCCCTTACCTTGGCGGTCCGCAGGCTGCACCAGGCGGTTGGTGACGGTGTCGCACAGGGCCTGGATCTCCTCGTTGTCCAGTAGGCCCAGCAGGCTGCGACAGCCCTCCATCTCTAAGCGGCTGAGCCCCGACATCTCGACCCCCGGGGCGGAGGGGGGGGGGGGCGAGAGGACGACACCAATTAGGTCGCCCGGAAGGCCCGCCGGGCCGGCGCCTAGGCAACAGACACCGGAAGTGCCCTTCCAGTCGTTCGCCCCCCGCCAAAGGAGCTCCTGAGTATTCCAGGCTCTTAGGCGGAAGGAGTCGTTAAAGGAGGTCCCGGAGGAAACCCGGTGATGCCGACTTATGGTTCCGGGGTCATCTTGACGCAAATATCTCAGCTAAAGTGTGTGCTGCATTTACACACAGCGCTTCGACGCTCCACCTGGGAGCTGTGTACACAAAGAACCTCCGAATTCAGCAGCAGCAGCAGCAGCAGCAGCAGCAGCAGTCCTTCGTTCCCAAGAGCTCCCTGCGAGTACTGCGCAAGTTCACGGAAGCCGGAAGTACGGGGCCGCGGAAGGACTCCCATGATGCCGCGGGGCGGGCCAATGGCTGCGACTCTTCCCCGCCCACCGGCCCGGCTCCCGGGAGCGCTTGAAAAGGTCCTTGGTGGCCACCTCCTGAGCTAGGTGAGCTGGTAGTTTGGTGTTCTTAAGTTACCTGCATTAAAATAACTTCTTGCTTAAGCTTATGCGGCGGAACGTTGACAAAGAGATCGTCACCCCCGTGCTTCGCTGCCGGCCTTGGATCGGACGCCTCCCGTCTCTGCCATTCTTTGCCATTCAGCCTTGGGCAAGGGCGGCACCGTTCACGGCTTGGGGTTGGGGAGTATTGGAAACCCAATTGCCAGGATATTAGAACGCCAGTCACTGGGCCTGTGGGCTTAACTCCTAAACCTTTTTTTTTTTTTTTAATCCCACTTTTCTGGGCTCTAGTAGAAATTCCCGCCTCATATATTAGTGGGGGATCCTGATCCAGGGTAGGAGTCATATTAACGTTGCTATTCCTGTGACAGCAATCCACATACACGTGAAAGAAATTCGTGCTCTGCTAAAATGAAAATCACATTTAAAATATAATACTTATGAGATCTTAGGGCTTCTGCCTGTAAGGAATGTGAAAAGATTTACCAGGAAACTGAGTACTGATAGCTCAGTACTTTTGGTGATTGGCTGATAACTAAGGTGCAGATGTATGTAAGTATGTAAAAGAAGGCTGTTGATCTTCAAGGAAAAAATACTGCTGGTTGGTGAATATGGAAGATAATGTTGATATAATCTCGGAGGAGGAGTCTTTAATTTTTTTTTCTGGGTGATAAAGCAAGTAGACCAAGCTTCTGACAGAGTTTCAAATGCTAACTGGCATTTGGAATCAAAGGTGTGGTTAGCCCCTTGTTCACAAATTAACAGTTGGCAATGAAGATTATAACCCCATGAATAAACTGGAGAAGATGAGGAGGACAGATTAAGAAATGACAGGAAGAAACAACCTCTGTATTTATGACAGGAATCGATTTCATTCACGTGGTTAGGTAGATATAAAAATTACGGTATTTTAATCAATGCTTGATAAGAAATGCACTCATGACCTTGCCCATGTAATTATAACTCCTCTGTACGGTATTTTCACAATAAAAAAAAAAAAAGACTTCCAGCAATTGAAGAGATGGAAGTCAGATTTGTAGCCTTATCCCATCTCACAGAAGGATTCAGGTAAAGAATTTGATTACAGTTTTCAGTAAAAGGTGATCCTATAATTGAAAGAGCTGAGTTATAAGATTGTAGAGAAAAGGAGGGTTGCAGTGGGATATGCCATGAAATAAGGTTAGCCTTTACTGAGATACAGTCCTGAGTTTGTAATTACACTTTCTGAAAAATAGGTCTCTGGATATGCAAGTAAAATTAAGGGAGTTAATCAGAAAGCTATTTATGTAACCAGCCCTCAGCCCAGGATTGTGGGCACAGGAAGGAAGCATGATAATTTCTTTTGTACTGTATGTGTGCAAGGCCAGTAATTCAACAAACAGCCTTGATAGCTTAAGGTAATGTTGTATTATCATTTATACTTAAGAAATAAGGAAATGAGAAATGAATAGTAATGATTCTTAATTACCAAGAGTAGTATGATTGTGGAGAAGGCAAGGAGGAATAGAGAGGCTTCTAGCATTCCAGTGTTATTTCCATATTTTAATAAACATAAACATTCCCAAGGGATGTGGCCACAGATGTGATACATAAGACTCAAAGGTAACAGCAGTATTGCCCCTTTGAGAGAGAACCAGAAGATGGAAAGGAAATTCTTTGCAAAGGAATATGAAGTTACAGAAAAGGAGGAGAATTGCTTAGTGAAGAAGGACCTTGTGTTCTGGAAAGATAGAGAAGTCCCTTGTAGAAAGAGTTCTAAGTTTCAGGTCTTGATTTTTTTTTTTTTTTTTGTGCCCATCCTTGGCTTGAGCTCAGGGCCTGGGCACTGTCCTTGAGCTTCTTTTTGCTCAAGGCTAGTACTCTATCACTTGAGCCACAGTGTCACTTCTGGCTTTTTCTGTGTATGTGGTACTGAGGAATCGAACCCAGGGCTCTGTGCATGTGAGCACTCTATCACTCTACCACTAAGCCACATTCCCAGACCTTGAATTTGTTTTGATAGGGTTTTAGGGAAGTAGAACATTCTTGAAGGATGAAAGAAATTACTGATAGTGAGTAATGGTCCACAAAGTTGTAGGTTGGAAAGGGTGTGACCTGGGGCACATCCGAAGAGCAGGTGAAGGTCTCCTGCATGTTCACATCTAGTAAATGAAATGTACCTGTAAATTCAGATGAACAAATTTAGCATTTTAAAATTTGCCAGCTAAATACCAGTTATAAAATATACTGTAGATAAAGTCTCTAAGGCCTCCAAAATATGATTAAATTATCAATGGATGTTATGTAGGATGCCATTTATACAACAGATTCTAATTAATTTATATTAAATATAATGAATACTTATTATGGTAGGTATTAAAGATTCTGATAAATGGTACTTACTGTCCCTCGAGAAGCTTTTAGGAATTTTGCAAGTAAAGAGATAATACTAAGTATGTATAGGTATGGGAATACATGTAAATAATGCCTAACTTTGTCTTCTTTCTTATTTTTTTTTTTTGGCAGGTGTGGGGTGTGAATTTAGGGTCTCACCTAAGCAGACACCCCTGAGCTACACCTTTTTCCTTTTTTTTTTGGTCCATTTTAAGACTTGAACTTAGGGCATGGTCACTGTCCCTGAGCTCTTTTGCTCAAGGCTAGGACTCTACCACTTTGGGATACAGCTCTACTTCCTGTTTTTGAGTGGCTTATTGGAGATGAGTCTCACAGACCTTTCTGCCCAAGATGTCTTCGCACTGTGAAACTCAGATCTCAGCCTCCTATAGCTAGAATACAGGCATGAACCATCGGTGCCCAGCTTTTGCTAATTAGTTTTGAGACAGGGTCTTGCTTTCTGCCTAGGTATGCTGTGTTAGGCTCCTGAGTAGCTGGCCATTACATCCAGCTTTTTGTTGAGAAATGGTCTTCTGAGCTTTTCTCTGCCCAGCTGAACTTGGACTACAATCCCCACAATCTTAAGTCTCCAAAGTAACTAAGATTATAGACATGAGGCACTGGCACCCATACATTGCTTCATTTTAGATTTATATATATGTATATATAATATTATTGTATATTATTATTGTTATATATTATAAATTATATTATATACCATATTTACATATTAATATATTACATATAAATGTATGATATATATATAAAATGAAGCAATGTGTGTGTATGTGTGTGTATTACACACATAGTTGTCATTGTTCTTTTTAGCAGGGACCAATCTAAGTCCATTAGCACATATTTTCATAGACATCTTAATGAACATATTGCAACAAAAGTCAAATCAAGAAAATGGGGCAAGAAAATTAAATCAAGAAAAGCAAGGGCTTTTCAAAGTGAATGAAAGGTCAGAAAAAAGTGAGAATGTGAACCAAGAAAGAATATAAATCAGGAAGAGTATTCTAGGAAGAAGCAAAAATAGGTTCTTGACACATAGGAAAGACACTAGGAAGCTGAAGCAGCTTGATCAGAGAAAATTTGCTTTGTGGTTAGAGCTGTAGGTAAGACTGATCTAAAACAGAATTTCCCAGCCATGGTACCTGTGATAATTTTTACACATATACACACATTTACACAAACGTGTTTATATACATACTGGTGTATATCCATCAGTTTTTGAATTGATGAATAATGATTTGCTGTCTGACTGGAATTACTCTTCAGTGGGGGTCTTAAAAATTAATTCCCTTGCCAGTGTGCATTACTCATCAATATGCAATAAGTCTTTTTAAAAAGTTGATGTAATAATATATTGATTTTAAAATCTTGATGATATGTGAACTTCTTTGTTATCCATTGCTTCTTGAAATTAGTGTAAATACCTTGGTATGTATATAGTTTATGTGCCCCCACCCCCATTCATGTGCTAGGAGTTTAGTATCCAATATGATGGCATAGTAGATCCATTAAGAAATTATCAAATCATCAGGCTGGGTTGTTTTTCAAAGGATTAGGTTGGCTGTTATAAAAGCCAGGCCACTCCCCTGCCTTTGATTCCTTGCTTGAACAGTGGGTCCTTTTCTACCATGTAGTAATGCAGCTAGAGGGTGGCAACATGCAGTTTGGACTTTGCAGCCACCAGAGAATTGTGAGCCAAATAAACCTTTCAAAATACTGATCCAGTGTCAAATACTGTTGTTACAGTAACATGAAAATCGTACTCATTAGCATCCCTACCAGAATTCAAGACAAGGAAAATGGCAAGTTACCTAAATTCCAGTAGCTTGCCTAAACAGTTTAATATTAACTTTTCTAAAAATGGATCACATCTTATCTATGACCAATAATCATTTTAGATCTTGCTTGAATGCTTCAGTAACTGTATTTCTAAAGCATGTTTGTAGTATGTTCAAATCACTTTTATCTCATTGTTTCACTTAGTAGTGCTACCTAAAGCTTCATTTTTTTTTCTTTTGGTTAAAGTTTTTCAGTTGCTAATAGTATAGAGGATTTTCCTTTGTCAGTAAATAAAGAGGAGTGTTATGTTCAAGCACATTACTTTCAGGAACAAACTGTTGATTGACTTAAAACATTCCCCTATTTGATTACTTGTATTAGAAATATTCATCATGATTTACTTTAAGTTTGGAATTTGCCACTAGGGTCTCAGGCATGGTACTGACTGCATCCTCTTTCCCTGTTTTTAAAAGTGAGGTCTACCTACAGGTTGCCCAGGCTAGCCTTGAACTCCTTTTCAAGCAGTCCTCCTGCTCAGCCTCAGAGTCGCTATGATTTAACACCTGGACATCCTAACCTACACATACCTAATATTTTTAAATGGCATCACTTCTTGTTTTTTCAAGTTCCACCAGAAGCACTTTTATCTTTGAGGTGTATCAAATACAGACAAGTCTATCCAATATTTCCTTTTGTAGTTCTGTGTACAAATGTTTATTGATGCTAGATTTTTCTAGTGTTAAAAAGGTCATTTGGTAATCTGAATATGGTAATGACATTAACTAAAATACCCATTCTTTTATGAGGTGGAACAAGAAATTTATTCAACATGTACCTAAGTAAGTCTAATTCCTTTGAAAACAGTGCACTACATAAAACTGAACACTTGCATTATCAACAAGGACAATGTTTTATTGAACAAATCTATGTACAGTACAAAATTTTCTTGAAATGAGACGCTATTGTTGATTTATTGCAGTTCAATGGCTCAGTTTTAATTTGTACTTTTATAAAATGCAAAGTAAATAATTTAATGTTCAACAAGGAAGCACAAATTTCCTTTCTTGCTGAATCTGTAATATCTTTCACATATTAACAATTCCAAAATGCATATGCAGCATTTACTCATTCTGAAAAGATGTTTTACAGTATAAAATAAATTAAAGAAAAAAAAAAAACCACTATCATCCCTTTTAAGTTTTCATTCATACAACAGTATTAATCCAAACATGAAAGGAGTATGGCCAAACCTTCAGTGTTATTTGAAAGCAATCACAAGTTCAATTATATAAATTATATATGCATTGTATAATTTTTTTAAAAAATGAATATGGCTAAAGCCCAAAGTACCAGTGTCTTTGTCCATGGAGATCCCCTTTTCAACATTGTCTACAATATTTAAGCAGCAAAAAGTCAGATTTGCTGTTTGCTTGACTTCACTGATACATAGCAGAATATTAATTTTTTAATGAAATTTTTATTTTAAAACAAAGATTTGAAACTTGGTCCATGTAAGAGATAAACATATCCTCACAACAGAAAGGAAGAAAAACAAAGAAAAAAATCTGAAGAGCATCCTTTTCTTCTGTATCCCAAATGAGGACTGCTGGAAGTTTTTGCACCCACAAAGGTTTATATTTTAGAAGATAGGCATAAGAAAACATTCACATTCTTTCAGTAGCCAGTATTTGAGAATTACTTAATAAAGAAGTAAAAATCATGATGCAAAAAGGAATTTTATATGACATTTCTTGACAATATGTAAACTAATTTAATGTGTCTTTCTGAAAATTTTCTCCCAGTCACACAAAATTAGAGATACAAACCTCAACTTCAAAACAAGTAAGTTTGTGGACAGAGATTCATGTAAATAGTAAGTTAAAATGTGACAAAATGTTAAGGTTTTAGACGGTGTACAAAGCAAAAATTACATTTCAAAAAACTTCATTGTCCAAATCAACCAATTTCCAGACTTTTTATTACAAGATGTACTTGTAGAGTCAACTGAAAAGTCATTAATTACATTTTTAGTACGAGGAAGTATGGAAAACACTTATTTTAGTTGATTTTGAAGAATAGATTTAAAAACTAGATTATGAATTGTATTTGTTAACTACACGTAGGTTTCACAGCCTAATGTAGGCTACATAAGAAAACAAACATAATTTGAATGGAATGGATTTATGATCCTCATTGCATAGTAGTGAATGCCCATGATAATAAAAATGAGAAACACTTTAAGCTGTCTGATACACAATGACATAGAAACTAATGAAATGTGGATGCCACCATGGAAGAAATGTCTGACTTCCCATTACTTCATTTATGAAGCTCTAATATTCCTAAAATTTATAATTGTAGGGTCTAGTGAGATTATCTGCTTTGAACAAAACTTTATCCATTGGAATAACTGAAATATTTGGTTAAGTTTATATATTAGAATGTCTATTTTAAGAAATTTGCCTTTACAATTTTCTCCTTTTTATCCCTGACTGAGATCAACATACTATTAGGTAAAAGGATGCCAGTAAACATCCTCCTTTTAACATGGACAAATAGAAAGAAACATCAAGAGGATGTTTAAAAAAATTATAAAACATTCATTGTTTTAATCTATTATGTTAAAATCATCCTTAGGAAAATTACTGGTTACCAAGGAAAACAATGCATTAATATATCTTAATGTGTTCCTGCTGTGCAAATTTTGGCGTAAATACTTCCTTATATATAAAAATTACTATTCAGACCAAATCCATCACTAATGAATAAAATACATTAGTATGGCCTACTTTGGAATCAACTTTCTTAGCTGAATAAAATGAATGAATTCTGAACCTGATTCTTATCTGACATATTTGAAGCCAATTATTTTCATAGGACTATAAATAGATAACTCACGCTAATGTCTAAAGGACTTTATTATGAATTATTAAATTATGTCCTATACCACATACAAATAGAAATATCCCAGTGTGCTTTCACCATTTTCATTTGCAATTCAGTGTTTGCCTTCAACAGTAGAGCTTAAATGGTCCTAAGATTCTTTCGTATCTCCCCAAATTTAATGGTAGTACTTTCCTAATCGACACTGTATAATTATTTTGTAATTGACAAAGTATAATTAATTTGCATCAAAAAGCTGAAGTTCTAAGTTTCTCTCAGGAACTTAAGCAAAGCACTGGTTTTTGTCTGCTTTTAAATTTTCAATGCTGGCATGCTATTCACTAATTTATCATTTAGAAACAAGTTACCATCTTTAACATAGAGAATATGGTGTTAAGTTTTGTTTCTGCATATCAGTTTCTAAATTATACCACAAACCAAACAGCAATGATTCCTTAAACCGTGTTTGACCAGCAGGGAGGATAATCTGATTGTTCATGATAAGAAAACAAATTCCATTTGCATAATACTTTACATTGTTTATTATTGTAAACCAGCTTTTCACTCCACCTCTTATTTCATGAGTTAACTTTTACTTTTCATAAGGCCATAGCTGGTTTTTCTATTTGCCAGAACATACTTTCACAGAAGCAAAACAACATGCTGGTATTAATCACCATAAACTTAAAAAACAAATGTGGTTATTCTGAATAACTGGTACTTTGGAAGTTTTATAATAACCCTTTTGGAGTCTAAGCCAGCACATCTCCTCTTCAAGTTCATTCTAGAAAATGTGCTTTATCTTTAGTAATCCAAGATCACTCTAAAATTAAGGCCATCAGGGAAACAGCAAACTGATGATGTAATTTCTTGTAGTACTTTCTTTACAAAAAACAAAACAAAAAAAACACTACTACTTGATCGACAGATCTTGTTGAGACATTTTTATCAGGCACCTGTAAAATAAAATACACATGTTAATGCAAATATTGTGTATGTTCAACTGGAATTCTAGTCTGATTCCAATTACACTTTCTCACAAAAATGTATTAGTAGAAAAGCTCTTCTTTAGCTTCTCATTTATTGAATTCTTTTCTAGTGCCTTTAGTTTTATCTTTGTAACAGAGACTCAGTTTCAGTTGGTTTATATTCTGACATAGTTTTAAAAAGCTCCATAAAAATTTCATTCTAGCAAGGCACTAATGTCTCACACCTGTAATGCTAGCTACTCAAGAGGCTGAGATCTGAGGGCTATGGTCCAAGCCAGCCCAGGCAGGAAAGTGCTAGGCTTGGGCAAAAGAAGCTCAAGGACAGAGCCTATGCCTAGAGTTCAAGCCCCAGGACTGACACTCACAAAACATTGACTCTAGAACTTTTATTAATGTGGCAAAGGCTCTGTAGAGTGGCAGAAAATATGAAAAACTTAAATGTGCTTAGGTTTTGGCTTCCACAAATTCATAGGCTATGTATATGCAAATTAATTATGAATTTCAGTGTTTATAAAAGCAGAAATAGGAATATTGCCTCCTAGTGAATAATATGAAGGTGTAAAGTAGTGCTATACAGATGCTAATTTTTTTAATCCCAGGAAAATCTATTTTCTGTTTTTACAGATATAAAACTCAGAACATATAAGACTTACTTTCATCATCTGAATCAAATCCAAAGAGTGTCTGACATTTCTCTTGTGCAAGGTGAGCCTCAAGCGCTTCTGCATTACAGTAGGTGGTCAGGCATTTGCCACATCTTAATCTTTTTGCTGATTTTTTATAAATACTATCTGAATCAGAACAGGCATCTACTCTATCATTCAGAAATTTTCTGCGTTTTGGCATACTAAGGTACCGTTCATCAAGGTAACTGGGAGGCAGTGGTCTGACATACGGCTTTGTTAAAATTAAGCCATACGAAGTATGTTCACTTGTAGGATTTGGTTTGGATGATGCCTGAGATACTGGCAGAGGATTGTGGTCTTGTGGTACAACATTGGGTAAAACAGAACCATTTTCTGTCCTGATTCTGCTTGTATCAGTTTTCAAAGCAGGATCTGCTTGCTCTATTTCACTATGTCCATTTATTAAGTCATTGTTTTCAGAATTTGGCTGTATGTCAGGCATCTTTTGGTCTGTCAAGCTTGTATTTGAAACAGTGTAATCAGAATGTTCATTTCCATTCTGAACTAAACTGTCTGTTTTCTTTTCCATGTTATCTATACATGTCTTTGGTTCTGTAGAATATTTCCTTGATTTGCTAGTAGAAACTGGTAGACTAATAGTTGGTTTATCTTTACTAGATGAGTCTTTTTCCTGATGAATAGAATTTGAGTCTGTACAAACATCCAAAGTAATTGCTTCACTTGGTTGTACAGATGATTCTGGTGTTTTACTTAAATAGTGCTGAGCTTCATGTTCATAGAGCAAAGGAAGATCTTCAAAAAGCTCATGGCATTCTGGAAAACTACACTGAGCTTGAAATATCCTGTGACTTTTTGTATGTTGGGCCAACTGGAATGGCAGCTTAAAGGACTCATTGCAATTAAAATGCAAACAAAAGTACACATTTGGATAGCTGTGTCTATTAAGGTGATCTATGAAATGTTGGGAATCTTCAAATTGCCTTTGGCAAAATTTGCATTTTCCTTTGCTCCACTTCATTACTGTTTGTCGTACATTTAAATCTGTTGGATGTGTAGTCCTTGCATGTGTATTTAGAAATCCAATTCTTTTAAAGATTCTGACACAGCCAAGAGCAGGACACTTAAAGTTTCCTTCTTGATCTGTAGCATACACATCTTTCGGATGGCACACAGTTCCATTGATTTTATGAAGTACTGAAGTTTCTGGGTTCAGGTCATAATCATCTTCTTCATAATCAATTTCATTTTCTTCATCCTCATAGTCATTCTCACATTGAGGTAAAGATTCTGAGAGGTTATTTAAAGAATTTGGACTACCATTTTCAATAATATTTTCAGTTACATCTTTTGGTACATCTGTGGGAATTTGAATTAACTCAGCCACGTGTTCAGAGATGACTGCTTTGTTTCCATCACTGGAAGTAGACAGAGTCTCTATTTCCATATCCTTATTCAAATTCCCATTCTCAAATGTAATGGAAGAACTGGAACCATTTATTTCTTCCAAAGCAGTAATTTCCTGATCATGAGCTGCAGTAATTTGCTGTCTCTGTATTTTCTTAACATGATTCTTTAAATGTTTTTGCATAAGTCCTCTGTTTCTAAATTTCCTACCACATATTACACATGAAAAACTGCCTTTTTTCTGATGAGCCTGGGCATGCCTTACAATGTGACCACCAAGAAATTCCTTGTTACATAACATACACCGATGCCTTGGGACATTATGATCTACTTTGGAAGTATTAAGAGCTGTAAGGTTTTTCTTTATATTAATATGATCTTTAGGCGGCACTCCAGATATATCATCAGGCTCAATTTCTCCAGTGCTCTGTTCTCTAAGAGAGTCAAGCCCTTCACCTAAACCTTGATGTTCCACTGTCCTTTTTAGAATACCTGTAGAATTTTCCAGTGTACTTTCATTTAGAAATTTGACTGCTGATTTATCATTCAGTAATGCCACACAGTTTTTCTTAATCATGACAAAGTTCCAAAATTCAGGATCAAAAAACAATCCCTTTTTCAAAATTGGAAGTAATTCAAAACGAACACGATTTTGCACACAACTTGTGCCTTCATTATATTCTTCATCTGGACGTTTATAGAGTTCTTCAACAGTATGGTAAGCTTCTAAGGAGCGCTCAAGGAAAAATATTGACAGTGCACAAATCCTGAGGATCTCTAAATCATTTGGCAAAAAATGTGCAATTGTTTTATAAATTAGACATTTAGTTTTAGGATCATCATGAAGGTCAAGTTGTAGAGCACACCCACATATTTCAACACAAATTTGCAAGCCTTCTTCTTCAACCTGTAAATGAAAAAATATTATTAATATCTCTATAAAAATAACTGAACTGCTTTATATTTTTTAGATGAAACCCTGAAAGGCAAGCTTTAAGTACATAGCATTCCAATGTACTATTTTCTAGGAGCTTTGCTTAACCCTTTTATTTATATGTCTTTCTTTTGAAAATAAGAATCATCTGGAATAGCTAGTATTTGAGCTTCTACTTATTTCCAAGTGTGACAAGACACAGCAACAATACAAAATGCTTCCTGAGCTTCATAAAACATAATTACCATTTCCTAAAAGTCCATGCTTACTTTATTATTTAAGACACTACTCCCATTGTTTGGCAGAAGGGTTAACAGGTCATTTTAAACAGACAAATCAATTTTCCATGTTAAGAAATAACGAAATTATTTTTTAAAGACTATGAAACTTACAATGATATACTGTTACTTTATTAAGTAATATTATTTTAATGCCAGGGATCAAACCTAGGCATATTAGGCCAATTACTCTTACTTTACCCCTATCCCCTACGAAGTAATATTATTTATTCAAATAAAAGGGAAAATATCGCACACACGAAGAGGTCAATCGTAATCTAAACATAAAATCTAATAAAGTACCAGAAAAATGACCTATTGGAAATTACCGAAAATTATACAAGCTTTTTTTTTATGGCACAAGCTTTCACTGATGTCAAAAAGATTATATATTTATATATTATGCTCTCTGTGCATGGTTACAAATTACAGAGAGGAATACTATATCATGCCCCTTAGCATTTTTCTATACTGTATAACCAACCCTGCTTAATTGCTTACAGTATTGCAGGCCTTAGCTTTGGATATGTTACTACCATTTTATCCAATTACTTTCTTACTGATCTATTATTTGTCAGACGTTTCTATTCTGCAGGTTCCTCTACTTGTGTTTTATGACCCCTGATCTGAGATACAGTTAAATTCTTTTATTCCCATCAAAGATAATACACATTTCTCTAAAAGACTCTTCCTTTTATAACTATCAGTGTATGCTCCCATTCCTTCACTTTGAATTCCTAAATATTTGGCTGCAATGTTTCATTTTTGTATTTCCTATAATTAGTGTAAAAGTTGGTACAAAATAAAAATAAACATTCCAAATAAATACTCACAGAATCAATCAGTTATCTGTCTTTATTTTGTCCCTATCAATCTATCATCTCTGCCTTAGAATCCTTTCTGAATTCAAATTGTGTCTATTACAGTCATTTTCTATGTATTACAAATTCCAAATCTACTGGTTCAAAAAGAATTCCTTCTTCATCTTTCTGCAAAGTTCCAGCTACATCCTTTATCTTGACTCTGAAAATTATAATATATTCATTCACATGCTTGGGTTTAAAATTCTAAGATCACTAAAAAAGGGAACAGACTACTTCCTTACCTCAAATTGTTTAAATATTTTCATGAATTAATGAACTGCAGCTGCAAAATGTGTTTTAAGTTTCTTTAGGATCTCTAGCAACCATGACCCATCCTTCCCAGTCTCACATTTGTTTATCACCCATCCAATTTACCTGACCATGCCACTAGACCGTTGTAGGAAAAAAAAGGCCTTGTAAACTGTAAACTCCTTATAAATTTCAGTATTATCTTCATATTATTATTTAAAACCTGGCTTAAAGCCTCTTCATCTATAAAGCCTCTCCAGATAATGCTATCTGTATTATCTCTTGAACTTACACAGTATTGTAACTACAGGTTTTTATAACAATAATGCATGTACATTATCAATACATCAGATAAAGGGCTATTTAGCTGACTGTAAACTATTAGCATTACATATTCAAATACTCATTTCATCTTTTTAGTTTTTCCTCATGTATTATGTTCGTAGGTTGACCAAATATATGAAAATAAGAAAGCTCTGTAATAATCAAAATGTTAAACATTGTATTAACTTTTTTCCCTCAAGTCTTGCTTCAAATGAGAATATCATATATTTGGGTATGTGAACATACATTTATTTTAAAAAATAAAGTTTGGTAGGTGATTCTGACATACATCAAAGGTTAAGAAATACTTTGTGCTCTTGTCTGGTTTTTCTGTCAGTACCATGGATTAAATTTAAGGCCTCATGCTTGTTCAGCTTGCTTGCTTGATTGGCTGGTGCTCTATCACTTGATCCACAGATCCATACCTCCAGCCTCGACTTTTTAGCTGGTTATTTTAGATATAAAGACTCATGTTTTTTTCTGCTTAAACTAGCTTCAAACCTCATTCCTCTGAATTTCGGCCTCCCTAAGTAACTATGGTAACAGGTATGAACCACTGATATCTGGTGGTTTTCCTTTTATTTGATGACTTCTATGAATACAGTTAGAAAATTAGAGAAAGGAAAAAAAAATCTTTAGGGGCTGGGAAGATGGCTCAGTGGTAGAGTGCTTGTCTTGTATGCGCGAGGCACTGGGTTTGATTCCTCAGTACCATATAAGCAGAAAAAACCATAAGTGGTGCTGTGGCTAAAGTAATAGAACACTAGCCTTGAGCTGAAGAGCTGAGGGACAGTGCCCAGGCCCAGAGTTCAAGCCCCACAACCGACCATAAAAATAAATAAATAAATAAAAATAAAATCTTTAATACAACACTGCTTCATATGATCACTATAAAATGATACATCAATGAGTGATGTGACAACTGCTGTGATAAATGCACAAATATTTAAGAAAAAGTACATGATTTAATAGTTTCCTCTTCACATGTTTAAAATAATCAGAAAATCATAACTTTCAATAAAATTATATTATTAATAACCAAAATCATAAAAATTCAATTAAATGGAGTTATAAAATTGTAGGGTGTTTTGTTTTGGGTTAGGTTTGTTTTGGGGTTTTTTTGGTGTTTTTGTTTTTTTGCCAGTCCTGGGGCTTGAGTTCAGGGCCTAAGCAATGTCCCTCAGCTTCTTTTGCTCAAGGCTAGTACTCTACCACTAGAGCCACAGCACCACTTCTGGCTTTTTCTGTTTATGTAGTACTGAGGAATCAAACCCAGGCCTTCATGCATGCTAGGCAAACTCTCTATCACTAGGCCACATTCCCAGCCCTGTAAGGTGGTTTTATCCTTCTCATTTTTCTTTTCTTGTTAGTTATGGGACTTAAACTCAGGGCATGGGCACTGTAGGCTACTGCTCTACCACTTTGAGCCACAGTTCCACTTCCAGTTTTCTGGTGGTTAATTGGAGATAGGAATCTCATGAACTTTCCTGCCTGGGCTGGATCTGAACTGCACTCTTTAGATCTCAGCCTCCTGAGTAGCTAGGATTACAGGTATGAGCCACTGGTGCCAAGCTTTGCTTTCTCATTTTTTTATTCAGTCTTTGTTAAAGTTTCTAGGGAAAAATCCTAAGAAAAAAATTGAAGTATACATAATTGATTTCTCATTTATTTAATTTAACCTGCTAAAAGAATATATTTGATGGTGCTACAAGTGTACAATGGCTTTATTTCTCTTCTTTAATCCTGCTAGTATTTGAAGAGGAATTTAAGGGATGGACTTTCTTATCCATGTGAATTTCATATGTAAGTTATACTTCTTTCCTAAGTAGACAAATAAAAACCAGGTCAAATTTCAAAAATAGCTAATGAGTTTTTATAATTACTTCAAATACAAAAGTTGTTCTCAAGTTTTAAAGCATCTCAGAAATCATTATTCCTTTTGACATGAACAACAGTTAAAATTATCAACTAACTTTTTCAGTAACAGTGAACAAGTATTTCCTATAGCTATATAACATTCATTTGCAAAATAATTAAGATTCTACAAACAGAATGTAGAATAATGTTAAAGGTATAAAATATTTAGTAAGTAGAAAAGAAATAATAGTTCTTCTGGTAGCAATCATTCCCTTACTAATTTTTAAGTTATATATTTTTTTCTGTAGTTCAGTTATTTTTCCTATATACCCTTGTCTTGTGTTGGGAGTTTGGAACTGGTAGAGAGGAGGATCTAATACATGAAGAAGATGGTCATAAAAAATCCTCCTTATCTTGAATTTTGTGATCAAATGAATTTTTTAAGATATTCAGGTTATAGTAAACTATCATTTAGTTTAATTTAAAACTCAAGGGATAAATATATCCTATTTACCTCATCTTTAATGATTTTCATGAATGGAAATATGACTCTCACATTAGTTGCTGTTCTTAAAAGCTGGTAGCATTGATCTACAAAAACTTGTTTTGAAGGATTAGATTTAAGCTGTAGTTTACTCCATATGAAAATCAACTCCCTGTAAATAGAAAAAAAAGAGAAATATCAAAAAATACAGTTTATTTAAATACAGTTTTTTTCCTGATTCTATACGAAGTGGAGATACACATATATATGTATGTAGGTATAAGTTTGTATTACCTTTTGCTACCTATATGAGGTTAATAGAAGTTGGGAAAAAAGAAATATCAGAAATTAAAATTTTAAAATAAATGAATCCCATGATATATCTAAAACATCTATGTAGTACTATATCAAATTCTAATATATTAATATAATAGTAGAACTTTGAAACCATCTTTCATTTTCTATGTTCAAATTTAGAAAATGTTATAGACTTTTCAATATAAATATCAAAACTAATACAAAGTCAAGTACATTCTAGTATTGATTCTAAAGTTGAATGCTTTAGTTGATGCTTCCTGTTAACCTATAGTACTTTTAAACAGGCAAGCTATATACTATTTAATATATTTTATAAGTAAATCAGTTCCTATTATATGGCAAAGGTTACTGGATGAACAAGGCTAATAACAGTGGATCTGGATGCAAAGAATAAATATGAAATATAACATATCTTGATATCATGGTTATGCAAATTAGTATTTATAACTGATTAAAGTTATATAGGGTTGAAGTTCAGGTTTCTTAGTTAATAGAGTCTATATCTCAAAGAAATGGGACTTTACCTAGCTTTATGTGGATGAATTTGAAGACATGGCTGAGAAGTAGTTCATCCAAAATGTCTGTGTTCCAAAAACATTCTCAGTCATGGTTGCTTAACAAATAGATCCCCTGGCCTGAACTTGTGAGTTTTCACTATTCTGCCCACTTTCTAATCACCTCCAGTAATAAATTTTACTTTGTGTCCAAAATCATTAAGAAATTTAAAACAAAAATTTAAACACAGACTACCATCATAAAAGTGTATACAATCTAAGAGATTATACATAAAACAAAAACAGCCAGTGTAAGCAAGCAAGCCTCCTTTCTAATGGCTCCATAAATAAATTATTTTATGTCCAAAACCATTAAGTTAAAAATGATTAAAAATTTAAGCACAGTTTGACTATTATCATGAAAGTGCACACAATGCAAGAGCTTATACAGAAAACAAAGTGAAAACAAGCAACAGAAGAAAAGTAAAACTAAACTCCATCTATGTCTATTTCATACTTGATCTGTATGTTTCAGTCTGTCACCATTTTTTTTGTACATACACTCCATTAGAACATACACCTTCCTTGCAAATTTCTGGGCTCTGAATTCTTTACAGATTTTTATACTTTGTCATTTCAATTTAGATTTCATCTTATTAATCCATTAGAACCAACCATACTGTGGAAAAACTGATGATGTTTTTCTAGCTCAACCAGCAACTCTAAACAGTCCTGTGTATTTTCCACAGTCCTGGTTTTAAAAACATAAAAACATGCTCTCAGCCATGTCATTCTTTCTCAGTGTCACCATAGGACCCTTAATTTCATTATACTTCTACAGTGGATGCTAACCTGATTTCTTTCTGGTTTCCTTCATCATTTCACTTATTCAATATTATAGGATGGGAAGAATCAGTATCTGAAACTTCTCTTTTAGGTTGGTGTCTTCACACCATCAGTGACAGTCCAACCAAGCTCTGGTGCCTCAAGTCTGTAGGAATTCTAGTACTCAGAAGGCTGAGTTATGGAGATATGAGGTTTGAAGCCAGCCCAGGCAGAAAACTATAACAGACTTTGTAGTTAATCAATAAAAAGCTAGACTAGCCAAGCACTGGTAGCTCACACTTGTAATCTCAGAAAATCAGGGTGCTGAGATCTGAGGATCATGATTTGAAGACTAGCCAAAAATGACTGTGAGACTTATTTCCAATTAACCACCAAAAAGCCAAAAGTGGGGGAGGTGGTAATAGTTCAAGTGGTAAACTGCCAACCTTGAGGAAAAAAGCCAAGTGAAAGTTTGAAGTACTGAGTTCAAGCCCTAATACCAGCACTACTAACAAAAACAAAACAAAACAAAAAGCCAGCCAGGCACTGACGGCTCATGCCTGTAATCCTAGCTACACAGAAGCCTAAGATCTAAGGATAGCAGTTCAAAGCCAGCCCAGGCAAGAACTTTTATGAGACCCTTATCTCCAATTAACCACCAGAAAACTGGAAGTGGAGCTGTGGCTCAAAATGGTAGAACACTAGTCTTGAGCAAAAAAACTCAGGAACAGGGCCCAGTTCCTGAGTTCAAGCTCCATGACCAAATAAAAATAAAAGTCAGACTGGAAGCATTGCTCAATTTCTAGAGCAGCCACCTTGAGCAAGCAAGAGTAAGGGATGATACACAGTTCAAGCCACAATACTGGTACATATGTGCTTACACACACAGACAGCCCCCACACAAAAAGAGTGTTTCCTTTTACTCTCACTTTTGTTTATGCTAATTGCTTTATGTGGACCATACTTTTTCATTTCTAAGGTAAGCCCTTTCTTCAAAAGATCTAGCAACGTAAATCTATAAGGAAGTTTTCAAAAATAGGGAAGTGTTCAGAATAGACCTCATCCCCATTACTGATTTCATACTCATCATATGCTTCCTTGTATACATTTTATAAGATCTATTTTTCAACTGTTAAATTTTATTGACCTATTATATAGTAGAAATAGTGGCATGATCAGGATTGAGAAGAGAGACTTTATTTATATACTCCTGTGTGTTTGGGAGAGAGTAGAGACAGTACTCTGGTTTGAACTCATAAAACTCATAGCTTTGGGTTAGAAAGACAAGTAAAGCTCTAGTATTTTAAGCCATGTGTCCAGCTGGAGACCTTAATTTCAATACAGCATACACTATCTGGAGTAGTAATATGCAGTTCATAGTGAGCCACCTTTTTCCAGGAATAAACCTAATACATCATGGTGGAACCTAGTAGCTGTGTCTTCTGGTTGCCCCTGACCCTTCCTTATCCTTTAGTATGTTAATTTAGATAGGAGGAACTGACCTTAGGCAGGCCAGTGTCCCTGAGGGTATTCAACTCTACAACATGAAGCTTGGGAACTGCTGTTGTACCTACTGGTGTGCAGCAGGAAAGACTGAAGCCAAATGATGACAAAAGCTAATTTTTGGAAAATAGCTGAAGATTGACTGTATATGATAACCTTTCAATACCAACTTCCCTACAGTAGTTAGATATAGATTATATTAGTTTAAAACTGTCTGTGTAACTTTCCATCCCATTTTGTACTAGCTATTTGACTTTTATCTTGTTAATCTAGTTTTTATAAATGAAAGTTGAGATTATTACTATTCGACATCTTTTTATAATTTTTTTCAGTTTTTAAACGTGTAGTGTATATGTGTGTATGTGTGGGCGTGGGGGGGAGGGGAATTGAACCCAGGCATGCACACATGCTAATCAACTGTTCTACTACAGAGCTATATCCTCCTCCTTATGATTTGATAACTCCTGTATTCCTAAATGCTATCCACTGGAATGAGATAAAGGATGCTGAGAAATATTTTTAATTAAATACCCTCATTTTCTAAAAGGGATACAAAGAAAAACAGATCAAATGTATTTCATAAGACATATCTCTGCAAAAGGTTTTAATACAATAATTAGAAATGATAGGACATATTTTGTAAATATTAGAAATGTCTAAAGAATACTTTCTAACTTGTCCAAAAAATAACTTGAGACTGTTCAGGTAACAATTTTTTAAAGACAAAGGCCTTTCTTCCCTTCTGCTTCTGTAAAGAACAAAAAACATTTCCCAAGATTCTAGGAAGTTTGTCAAGTGAGGACTATCATGTATTTCAGCTTTCTAGCAGGAAAAGCAGAAATCTCAGAATACCATTATAAAATTCCATTATGAATAAATTTACAAAATAGGATTTCAGATTTACTTGTATGTTGGATTTTGAAAGAATATAAGCAAGAAAAGCCACTCTAAAAACTTGATTTCAAAGTCCAAAAGTCCAATGAAGCTTACATTTTCTTTTGCTCAGATTTTTAGAAAGAACAGTACCCTACTATGTTAACTACCAATACATTCTCACACCTGTAATCCTAGATACTCAGGAGGCTGAGATCTAAAGATTGCGGTTCAAAGCCAGCTCAGGAAAAAAAAAGTCCATGAGACTCTTATCTCCAATTAACCAACAGAAATCCAGAAGTGGTGCTGTGACTCAAGTGGTAGAGCCCTTGCCTTGAGATGAAGAGCTCAGGGAGAGTACCCAGGCCCAGAGTTCAAGCCCCAGGACCCACCAAAAAAAAATACAGTCAAAATACACTTTGTAGCTGATTTCTGTTCTTCAATTAAAATTTAAAAAACTAACTTTTAGAAGAAAATGGTGCTAGCATTCAGGAAGCCATCAAAACTAAGACTTTTGTAGAACATCACAAGCTAGGATACCATAAAGACACTTGATGCTCTTTTCAAAAGAGCTAAGCTATTAAAGCAGCCCAGAAGCCCTACAATCGATGAGTGGATCAAAAAAAAAAAAAATGTGGTGCCTATACACAAAGGAATTTGACACAACCATTAGAAAGGTATGTCATTTGCAGAGAAATGGGTGGATCTAGAAAAAAAAATCCTGTTAAGTGAGATAAGCCAAACAGAGAGACAAACAGCACGTTTTCTCTCATATGCAGAAGCTAGACATAAAATACACAAGGCCAAGATAAATTATATAAGACTAGGCATTTTACACACAGTTAGAATGAAGGAGGATACTCTTAGGGGAAGAACAGAAAGACAATGCCTATATGCACATGATCAAATAAAATAATATTTATCAAAATGAACTCTAGGAAGTCAAGAGATTTTAACCTCTTTGTTGCTGTTTTTGTTTTCTTTTCTCTTTGTCTTGTTCATTTATCTGTCTTTAGGAGGGTAAGGGCAACACAGAAGTGGAGGGACAAAGGGTGAACAAATGCAGCAGTGATACTCATTAGACATTAGACACTATGTTGAAAATGAACTAGACAACTTGTGGGTGGTAGTGGGAGAGCACAAGGCAAGGGGTGATACTGTCCACAAAGAAATGTACTCTTTACCTGACTTACATAACCGTAACTCCTTTGGGCATCACGTTTATAATAACAATAAAAAATGAAATTAAAAAAGAAAAAGAAAATGCCAGGTGCCAGCGGCTCATACCTATAATCCCTAGCTGCTCAGGAGGCTGGGATCTGAAGATCGAGGTTCAAAGTCAGGGCTGGCAGGAAATACCATAAAACTTTTTTTGGGGGGGGGGTGGAGGGAGGGAGTCAGTTATATGTTTTAAACTCAGGGCCTGAGTGGTGTCCCTGAGCTTTTTCACTCAAGTGCTCTACTACTTTTAGTCATAGCTCTACTTCAGTTTTCAACTTTCAGCCACAGCTCCATTTCCAGTGATAATTGGAGATAAAAGTCTCATGGACTTTCCTGCCATAACTGGCTTTGAACTGCGATCCTTAAATGTCAGTCTCCTTAGTAGCAAGGATTATAGGCTTGAGCTACCAGCACTAGGATCCTAAGACTCTTATCTCCAATAAGCTAATCAGAAAAAGCTGGAAATAGTGCTGTGGCCCAAATGTTAGAGTGCTAGCCTTGAGCAAATGAAGGTCAGGGACAATACTTAGTTCAAGCCCCAGGACTGGTCAAAAAAAAAGAAACAGAAAACTAAGACAAAGAAGGAAATGCCAGAACAACAGCTCAAGAGCCACATACTTCTATACTTAGAGGCTATCTGTGTCCAACACTACTTTTAAGATCCCTTCTAAAAAGTACAAATTCTTGTATTTTTTTCCTTTGCTTTCATAAGATGAGAAAGTGGTCATTTTTTTGTTGGTTGTTTGTACATGTGTGTGTGTGTGTGTGTGTGTGTGTGTGTGTGTGCGCACACGCGTGTGTGTCCTGAAGGAAAGGAATCAGAATGATTACACTCTTGGATTTCACTTATAGTATTAAAAACCATTTACATTTTAAATAACATGATTGCAAGCTAAACTGCAATTTCAAATATCCTAGCTTGTAAATAGTTTAATTTTAAAAAAACTCACTAAGTTGAAAATGAACTTTACAACTTGGGGTGGGGGAGGAAGAGTTAGGGAAGTGGGGGGGGGAGGGATGGTAGGGGAAAAACAAAAGAGGAAGTAACAGTACTCAATAGGAAATGTACTCATTATCTTCCTCATGTAACTGTAACCCCTCTGTACAGTATTTTTACAATAAATATATGTATATATATATATAACCACATGCTCCAAGTGAAACTTAAATTCAAATTCAAACATAATTGTTTGATTATAACAAATACCTTAAAGATTTAATCTATCAATTGTGGCATAGGAGTTTTACAAATACCTAGTTCTTTTTACAATGCCCTATCAGTTTTTTAAAAACAGCCTAACATTTTTACATGCATTTTTTAAAAATACCTAAAGTCCAACCTCTATTAATCAAATATTCTTTCTGTTTCCCATTTTACCATTTCACTTCTGTATTGTGTAAACTTACCATATATAATACATATCCCCATTCTGGAGCTGTGGAATAAGAAAGGATTCACAGAGTTGCAAGGCTAACATAGTCTTGCCTTCTTTCTCAGTGTTACAGATGATATCAATTCCATTCTTGCAGTCAGTTTTCATTAAATGCTGTAAGAATAAAGTGAAAATAATTATAATTTAAAATAACTAAAAAGCTAGTTGCAAAAGTGTTTAAAAATTTCTTAGAGCACATTCATGAGTTTTTAGTTTTCTTCTACAATGATAATGATGTACTGTGCAGAATTATATTTGTGGTCTTACAGTTCCACTACATACTATCTATGTCTACGAACACTTTTTTACCCTGAGTATCTGTAATATCATTAATGGGCATGGGTATTAGGAAAAGATAATTCTTACATCTCAAAGAAACAAAATAAACAAAACCATTATACTTCTTAGTACTTTAATAGGCAAAATCTTTTTTTTTTTTTTGGGGGGGGGGGTCCGGTTGTGGGGCCTGAACACTGGGCCTGGATGCTGTCCCTCAGCTCTTCAGCTCAAGGCTAGCGCTCTACCTCTTGAGCCACAGCACCAGTTCCGGCTTTTTTCTTTTTTGCTTATGTGGTGCTGAGGAATCGAACCCAGGGCCTCAAGCATGCAAGGCAAGTGCTCTACCACTGAGCCACCTTCCCAGCCCTAATAGGCAAAATCTTATTTTGTATTTGACTTCTTTTGTCACAATACTAGACTAATACTCATATTTTCTAAATTTTATCTTTTGGTAAAATCAGATTCTGCCTTATTTCAGGATATTTAAAGAATGGTTCTAGGTAATATTAGATAACATGATACTGAAATCCTTACTATTACCACAAAAGGAATTGGACAATGTTTGTTTTAGATAGGGTTAAAATGATAATAGGCAAAAATAGTCTCACTACCTCCCGGAATAGTTGATCTTCTACAGGTGACATAAACAGACATGTGAAGAGGGCTTGATGGAAGTACAAGTCTTTATTCATTTCTGGGTGATTTATACATGATTTAATAAGAGCCATTGCTTCAGGTATGCGTTCACAAGCAATTAGGTATCTGGCACGTAGTTCAAAGAACAGTGGATTCTCAGAACTTAAATATTTGTTTACTGAAAAAGAAAACAGATTAGTACTTTTGAAAAAGATTCAAACCTTGTTGTTTGAAGCTTTACCACTGAAATAAGGTATTTTAAGGTGATTAACACATTATTGAATTCAATAACATTTTCCTTAGCATATTCAGTTGTGGGGCTGGGAAGATGACACCAAAACAGTGCTTAAGATATGTTAATAACTCCTCAGTTTAAAAAACTAAAAGTATTTAAAAAAATAAAAATAATAAAATTTTTTGCATGTGTATATATAATATTTTTTTATTGTGAAAATGCTGTACAGAGGGGTTACAATTACCTGGGAAAATAATAAAAATTTTTAAAAGAAAAAAATTCTTCTTTTAGTTTATTAATATATTAAAAGTATGTTTCAAATAGCACAGTCTGTTTTTCTTCTTTAAGATTATACAATTTATTTCTCACAGCCCAAAATTTTCATTAGTATATGATTAGAAGACTGAATCTTAAATTAGCACACTGAAACCACACTAATTCAGATTAATTATAAAGAAATATAAACCAATGACAAGCTAGACATGTTGTATTTCATTACTTTTTAAAGTAATCCAAATAATGCCAAATTGGATTGCTTATTAATATGTGTTCTTGTATTACCAAGTATAATTAGTAATTTATATATTCAGAGAATTTCAAAGCATAAAAATATCCTTAACACTCCAAGTTTATTTAAAACAACAATATATGACAGGAATTGTAGAGATCAAAAACTGAGCCTCCAAGATGTTAAATAACTCTTCTAAAGACAAAAATTTGCACGCGACAAAGCCAATTCTGGAGCCTATATTTTATGATTTTTAATTCAAATTTTAAAATTATATATGTTAAACAACCAAGTTGATTATAAGTAATGTATTATTCTGGCGTAAACAATTGCTTAAAGAAATGTATGATAATCACTTGAAGTTATTACAAAAATTAAACTTCATTCTCATCTTTACCCTAATGAGCACTAGTTAGAATCATTCATATTAATGAGACTGTAGAATAGCTTTTCCCAAAAAGAGGTAAGCTAGTGAAGTTAAGAAAGGAATATTCATTATTTTAATTTCAATGATTCTCAACTGAAAGGGCCATCAACCCTCAAACCAACCAGAAATTCGTTCTAGCACCTACTTAGAAAAGCTTAAAAACTACCCTAAAACCTTAAACATCCTTTTTCCCTCTATGCACATCTTTTGAAGCTTTGTCTTACTTCTACCCTCTATCTTCTCAAGCCATATTTTTCAGTTTTTTCCAGCTGTGCACTTTGACTTTCTTATATTTCTTATATTTGACTCCTCATAATTTCTCCTAGTAATCCAGCTTGTTCTCTTAGATTCTTGTTCTTTTTCTTTAATTTCTTTCCAAGATTCACACATCAGAGCTTTCTTTTGTATCCTTTCGGTTCTCCATACCACTATTACTTATATCCTGATCCTTTTCTTATAGTGTTGTCTCACTTTCCATGTTGTCTCCTCTTCTCAGCATCATAGCCCTATACCCACAGTAGGGCTTGTTTGCTCTTGTCTGAGAATCAACAACTTGTCCAATCAATCTCCACACTAACCCACTCCATCTATTAACCTAAGCCAAATGGTAATCTAGTTATTCTGGAATATGAATGTTTCACCAGATTAAGATCTGACTAAACTTCTTGCTAATTCACTTCTGCTGAGCTTACATTCTAAATTTTAGTGATCCAATATGATGATATCAAACATTATAGTTTGAAAAACAAAAGGGTTAACTATATAGAAACAACCACCAGCAGCTCCTAGTGATCCAATATGATGATATCAAACATTGTAGTTTGAAAAACAAAAGGGTTAACTATATAGAAACAACCACCAGCAGCTCCTATCTCAAAAAGAAATTTTTGGTGACATGGTCCACTATGTTCTGTGTTTTAAGAGTTATGTTGTAAAAAATAGGCAATAAGGACCTGAGACAAAAGTGATAAATACTACTCCATAAGATCTAGAATTGAAATAATTAGCTTACTCATCAGTCATCCTGTAGCCATTCAAGTGAAAAATAATAAATATATTCTTAATATATACTTAATAAATATAAGTACTCTTCACAGAAGCACTGAATTAACTACAGAATGAATATTTGGTAGTGTATATATCATAGGAGTGGTGACAAAAAAATTCAGTGTTAGCTCTCACAAAAACGCTTCTAAGAGCTTTGTTGCATAATGATAGCACATATGACCCCAGAAAGGTTTCTTCTATGTAAGTTAGATTCCATGTGCTTTTGTGAAAATTCATTTCTAATTTGTTTTTTTTTAAAAAGGCTTTCCTATTTAAAGCAACTGAAATAAAAGTCCCTGTAAACAGCATCCAATAAATATGTTAATACTTTAAATCCCATGATTATAAATGTATGTACCTGAGAAGGCATTAAAAATTACTTTGGGCCAACTTGGAAAAACTAATTAAACATTCTTTACTTGAAATACATTATTCATTATCATAAATATTAAAAATTATTATTCTACTTAGATAATAAAATTATGTTTGCTTCTCACAAACCCCGGTTTTGATATTTAGTCTTTGATATACCTATCTCCTGAGAAGCTGGCTGAGCTTTAAGAACAGCTTGCAACACTGGATCTTCCCATGGGCCACCATCTCTAATGATTCGAGTCACTAGTTCCAGATTCACATTTCCATATCTGCTGAGGTGATTCTGGCATTCCTAAGAGAGAAAAATCATTTTTGATTTGGAATTTAAAGGGATTAAAAACTAAACTTGATCATCATTGTCAATAAAATAACTGATAGTCAAATAAGACAGATAGGAAGATATAAAGGAGAAAGTATTATTACTATAACCTAAGGTGAGTGGGGAACAAAACTCTATTCATATGCAAATAGGTTTTAATGCCAAAGGTTATATAACATATAGATAACAGGATTCAGAAAATCCACTGAAGCAAGGATGAAGTATAACCTAAGGAAAAAGTTCCCATTGAAGCAGGGATGAAGTATTACCTAATGGAAAAACTATTTTTGGGAAAAGAACCGGGGTATGAAAAAAAAATTGTATGAGTAAATTTTAGTTTCTGCAGAGAGCAAGGGCACTAGCAAGTACATTCTAGTTAGCCAGTTTCACCTAGTGACCGAGTAACTAGGTCACCCAGTGACCTTGTCTCACAAAATAACTTTATAAGTTCCAAAGAAGAGTTTCTTTTTTGTGTGTGCACACAAACATGAGTGTATTTCTTGGGTGGATATTATGGAAACACTCCTATGGGACATAGCTCTGGATGAAAGTAGTAATATAAAATCTTTTCATTTCATTACAGGTTCACTTGTGTAATCCTAACTACTTTGGGTGGCTAAGATCTGAGGATCCAGGTCCAAAGCCAGCCTGGGCTGAAAAGTTTGTGAGAATCTTATCTCCAATTAACCACCAAAAAAGATGGAAGTGGAGGTATGGATCAGGTGGTAGACCACCAGCCTTGAGTAAAAAAGCCAAGTGAGATCTTGAGGTCCTGAATTCTAGTCTCAGTAAAAGACAAAGAATCAAACAAACAAAAACCTCTGTGGTCTATTTAAAAAATCATAATGAAAGAGGACAAAAAAACCCAGAAATATTTTCAATCTTTTTTTGAATACTCTGACAATATTCAATTCAATACCACTAAAGTGAATAAGCATTTAAATCACTATAAAAGTCACAACATAATCTAGAGCATATAGGCATACTATCTTTTAGACTCTTTATACCTTGCTTCTCTTTCAGAATAAATTGTGGAATAGGCTTACTGTTTTACTCCAGAAGGAAGATTTTGAATTTTTGCTTGTTTATTGACTGTTCTCTAGCTTGAATTCAGGGCCAATTAACCAGTTGAGCCAAACCCCAAGTCCTTGATGCCATTTTAAAGAAGTGATTATGTGTCTGTAAAGCTGTCTGACCCTATATATTAACGTGAACATTTCAGCAGTTACCAAAGCACAAAATTCTCATTTCTTAACCTCACATTTATTCATTTACCTATTACACATCAAAAAATCCTTATCTTCAGCTGGTCTCGGCCACATGTCCCAAATTCATCTTGCATTTTCTTGCCTATGACTTTTTCTCATGTCACTTTCTCCTACAAAAACATACCTAAATCCTGTATTTTTGTTTCCCTTAATGCTTCTTTTTTTTGGGGGAAGGGGAAATTAGCTAGAACAGAATGGCATCAAACTTCTATCCTTTTGCCTTAGGATCCCAAGTACTAAGATTATAGCCTTGTCAACAAACCACACCTGGCTAATTCCTATCTTTTCCACTGTCTCACTTGCCCAGATCATCCTCCACTGGTTATTTCAATCCATAATAATTTAATTACTGTTCTGTAGAAATAAAAATTATACTAGTCTACTCTAATGTTCATTGTTTGAGAGTCTACATTATGTTACATGTCTAGTAAAGACTTTACTATGTAGGTAAAAGCTTTGCAAACAGCTAGAAGTGTGTCAAAGCAAATACACTATTAATAACTTTTTGATCAAAATGGAGCATTATAGGAATCTGTTGAAGAAAAATAAGTTAACAAGAGAGTGCCAGGGTTGATCCCCCAAGTAAATGGTAAAAGATCTAATGTTCATTACATTCACACAATTTGTCCTTCTTACCTACTAGTTTTATTCTTTCTCTTACCCAGATACAAAATGAAAACTAGGCCTCTTAGCTTTAGAAGCTTAGTATGAGATGAGAAAATCTGGATATCACCACAGGAAAAAACTAACATGGTACACAGTCTACTTGTAGTCTATGCAAGAAAAATACTTTCTTACCTGGATAGTTCTAAATTACAGCAGCTACTGTATATGCCAGAATGTACTCAGGTATCTACAGGCCTGGTAGCAGCTCTGGTCTAGCACATGTGAAATTGGAATCTTGGCTATGAACTGCTTGGAAATACAGTTAAAAATTAACCTTAAGATATTTAACTATCTGCAGGGAAAAATAGGACCTTAAACACTGTAACCTTAGCAGCCATAAAAACTTATAAGCAAAACTTTTACATACCCAGTAAACTTTTTCAGGGGAGAGTTTTAGAAATAGAAAAAATGTGAAGTTCTAAACTATTTTACCTGGAATGATCCAAGAATATCCTTTAAAGGCTCTTCATAAAACTCGTCTCTTCCAAAGAACAGCAGCAACTCAAAGAAACTCCTACAATGAACAGATGAATAATAGAATGATTATGGAAGGATTGTCTAAACTAGTCAACAAAGTCTAGTTTAACCCAAGAATGTTAAAGGATGGATAAAATTTACACAAAACCAGAAGGAGGATCACTATGAAAGCACGTATCTAATAAAGGACAAAATTCCAAACTCCAAACTTACCCTGATTAGCCCTTTCATAGTAGTACCCATTTTCTGGTACCTCCTTTTTAAATAAATTACTTAGAAAATACTTTAAATACTTGTGCTTTTAATACTTTATACGTTGTCACCACACACACACCCCTCTTTTCTCTTCTTTTCCCTTTGGTAGTATTAGGACTTGAATACATGGCTTATGACTGGTCTTTTTAGATCCAGACTGGCACTCTACCACATAAGCCATGCCTCTACTCCCACCTTTGCTTTCTGTTTAATTCTCCAACTAAAAAAAAAAAAACAAGTCTCTTGATTTGTCTGTCTAGGCTGGCTTTAAACCACAATTCTCAAATCTCATCCTGCTGAGTAGCTAGGATTATAGACCTGAGCCACTGGTGCCTAGCTTAAATTGTGTTTATATAAATGGTTTACCTTCAAAATAAACTGTTAGGGCTGGGAAGGTGGCTCAGTGGTAGAGCGCTTGCCTTGCATGCATGAGGCCTGGGTTCAATTCCTCAGCACCACATAAGCAAAAAGAAAAAAGCCGGAAGTGGCACTGTGGCTCAAGTGGTAGAGCGCTAGCCTTGAGCTGAAGAGCTGAGGGACAGCGCCCAGGCCCAGAGTTCAGGCCCCACAACCGGACCCCCCCCCCCAAAATAAAATAAAATAAAATAAAAACTGTTAATTAAGACTAAAATTTTAAAAGGTACGCATTAACTATTAAGTCCAAAAAAGTCACTTCTATTAAAAATGATAATATACTGCACAGAAAAGTGAAGTGAATCTTTTTCAAGCATAGAAAACTGTTCTACCTCACACATACTTAAGTAAAAACCATAAAGATGAAAAGCCTTTTCTTTTTAAAACAATAGTTTATGTATTCTTTGATGTCTTTTTAGTGTACAAACCAAGCCATTATGACTTGTTGAAGGGACTGTAAATGGAACTACCTCTTTTAAGAGCAATACAATAATTTAAGATTGTACACATGTCATTTGACCTAGCAGTTCCAATTACAAGAATTCCATCCTCCAGCTAAACACATGTAAGTTCAAAGACTTGAATACAAGCCTTAATATCAGATTTTTAAAAGCAAAATCTAGAAATCCAAATGTTGGCCATCAAGGAAAAAGTATATTAATTTCAAGTACACCCATATAATGGAATATAATACAAATATAAATGAGAATATTAATGACAACCTTTGTATCTATATCAATAAAGAAAAAAAAGTGTTCAGCAAGGATGCAGGCATATTAATTAAACTACTCACCCATGACTGATTTTTTTCTTTGGTCAACTTACATAAAAAAATATTGCATGGGAAATTTTTGAACTAGACCGTTTGTAAGTTCGAAATCATGTGCTGTTCTATCTAAGTAATGTGGTTTAATCGTACACTGTCCAAAGGAGACATGTATCATCCTTTTATGCAGGGTATCCACAGTATATATGCTACCTGCCACATAGTCAGTAGTTGTCTCAGTTATCAGATCAGCTGTCAAGATATTGCAGTGTTTGTGTTCAAATAAGCCTTATTTTAATTAATAATATCCCTAGAGCACAAAATAATGATCTAAAAGTGATCCCAGAAAGTAAAACATAAAGATGTAACAGAATTCCAATATAACCTGGTTATAGAAAAACAAATTTGAACTATGATTCAAAATTAGGAGCAATAAAGGAAATTCATAAATATTAACTGCAGTTAAAAATCCTTGCCATGCACCAATGGCTCAAGCCTGTAATCCTAACTACTCAGGACGCTGAGATCTGAGGATCATGGTTCAAAGCCAGTCCAAGCAGGAAAGTCCGTGAGAATCTTATCTCCAATTAACCACCAGAAAATGGCACTGTGGCTGAAGTGGGTGAGCACTCACCTTGAGCTGAAGAGCTCAGGGATAGCGCCCAGGCCCAGAGTTCAAGCCCCACAACCAACCCCCTCAAAAAAATCCTTGATTTTCAGAAATGTATTGAAGGTATAACCACTATGGCCAAAGCAAAGATGGATGTAAAATATATACTGCAACTTATTTTATTTTGGGTCCAGTCGTGGCCTGAACTCTGAGTCTGGGCGCTGCCCCTCAGCTCTTCAGCTCAAGGCTAGCGCTCTACCACTTGAGCCATAGCACCACTTCTGGCTTGTTTTTTTACTTGTGGGTGCTGAGGAATCGAACCCAGGACCTCAAGCATGCAAGGCAATCGCTTTACCACTGAGCCACCTTCCCAGCCCTATACTGCAACTTACATCACAAAAGAGCTTAATATCACAAATATATAAAGAGCTCATGAAAATTAAGAAAAATTCCAATTAATATGCTTATAAAATGATTAAAATATAAGTAGGTAGCTCACAAAAGAATATAACCCCAAGTATCACTATAACACAGTTCCTGAGACTGGATAATTGGTACAATTTTGCTTGACTCACAAATAAATTCTGGAGGCTAAGCAAGACACCAGCAGGTCTGATGCCTGGAGAGGTTATTCTGTACTTCCAACATGGTGCCTTATACAGTGTACAAGGAAACTTGACCTCAGGGCCTGACAGCTCTTCTTAAGCTTTTTTGCTCAAGGCTAGTGCTCTACCACTTTGAGCCATAGCACCACTTTTGGTTTACTGGGGGTTAATTGAAGTGGTTAATTGAAAGTCTCATGGACTTTTCTGCCCAAACTGGCTTCGAGACACGATCCTTAGACCTCTGCCTCCTGAATAGCAAGGATTACATGAGTGAGCCATCAGCACCAGGCCAAGAAAGGTAATTTTAATTCAAATTCTCTACAAGTATTTTTTTTTAAAGAAATAGGCCTGTTTTAAGAGACCATGGTAGTTCTCTGCTAACCAGCATGACCTCAATCGTTCAATACTGGGATAGCATTAAGCTTGACAGGATATTCTACAGAATTAAAAAGCAAAGTGCAGGGCTGGGAAGGTGGCTCAGTGGCAGAGCGCTTGCCTTACAATGCATGAGGCCCTGGGTTCGATTCCCCAGCCCCACATAAGCAAAAAGAAAAAAGCCCGAAGTGGCGCTGTGGTTCAAGTGGTAGAGCGCTAGCCTTGAGCTGAAGAGCTGAGGGACAGCGCCCAGGCCCAGAGTTCAGGCCCCACAACTGGACCCAAAAAAAAAAAAAAAAAAAGCAAAGTGCTTGCAGAGATCTGAGCATCTGCTTGCTAAAATTCTATTTTAACTATAATTGTTATTAAACATTTAAAATTAAAACTAGAAACTCAGGTGAATAAATATGAAATTTTCATTTTAAGATTTTATGAATGATTTCTTCCACAGAATAAATGTCTTTTTTTTCTCTTTTGTGCCAGTAGAGTGCTCAAAGTTAGCACTCTACCACTTGAGCCACAGCTCACTTCTGGCTTTTTTGGTGGTTAATTAGAGATAGTCTCACAAACTTCCCTGACCAAACTGGCTTCAAATCACAATCTTCACATCTCAGCCTTCTGAGTAGCTAGGATTATAGATGTGAGCCACTAGCATCCTGGTTAAAAATCTATTCTTTTTTTTTTTATTGTGAAATACTGTACAGAGGAGTTATAATTACATGGGCAAGAAAATGAGTACATTTCTTATCAAGCAATATAGCCTCCTCCTTTGTTTCCCCTTCTCATCCCATCCTCCCCCTACCCTCCCAACCAAAGTTGTAAAGTTCGTTTTCGACATAACAACTTGTACATCTCATTGTTGCAATGGGTCCACCTGTATCCCTATTTAAATGATTTGTTTTTTCCCTTCCCCTCCACAAATTATAACAACATCAAATACAGTGAAAGCAGGGGTTATACCGTGGGGGAGGGACATACAAGGCAACAAAGAAATAATCTTATAAATGTGTTAGAAACAATTGCATGAAAGAAAAAAAACATCTGAATACGTATCTTAGGGTTCATTTCCCTAATATCAACTTAACTGACCTTTTCTGCTTGACTCATAAAAATCTATTCTTTTTTTTTTTTTTTGGGGGGGGGGGGTCCAGTTGTGGGGCCTGAACTCTGGGCCTGGGCGCTGTCTCTCAGCTCTTCAGCTCAAGGCTAGCACTCAACCACTTGAGCCACAGTGCCACTTCCAGCTTTTTTCTTTATTCTTCTGTGATGCTGAGGAATCGAACCCAGGGCCTCAGGCATGCAAGGCAAGCGCTCTACCACTGAGCCACCTTCCCAGCCCCTAAAAATCTATTCTTAAGATACATCAACAGATGTGTTTAGAAGTAAAGAGTACTTACACAGCAAGACTACTCAAGACATATTGTACGTGCTCACATTCATCTGGGAACGATGCACTGGCTGATGTGAAACAACAAAGTGCAGTCTGAAGAACTTGAAGCTGGGGCAAAGGGACCTGCCATCTTCCAGCATAATCTTCAACCACCTGTAGGGTAAAAATCAAGAAGTATTTAGAAATCTTTAGTATAGAAGTTGAGAACATTTTATAAAAAACATGTTCTATACTTAGTATACCTTAGCAAACACATCAAAATTTACTCATTTTACATCACCTTATAAATCTGAAAGGGAAATTTTTCAAGTTACCATCAAGTTGCAAACAAAAAATAATTCATACATACAGACATAATTGGACCAAGTTCAGAACCTTCAGTTATATATTAAGGACCATGAATCAATATTCTTTAGCATGTAGTCAATTACTAATATTAATTCTTTCCCACCTTTCCATATGTCCATAGAATGGCATGAGACAATTTGTAAGGGGGGAAAAGGATGAAATCTACATAGAGTGAGTCTGTTGCATCTCTCTTATCTATTAACAATAATCTTGAGTAGAATTAGTATTTAAAATAATCTGATTTAATGAATTCATAATTATGGTTAAAGATAAAGATACCTTTTTCACTACTGACAATCATTTATTTATATAAACTCCTTGGCTTTTCAACTCAAGGCTAGTGCTCTACCACTTGAGCCACAGGTAAGTCTCATGGATTTTGCTGTCTGGCATGGCTTTAAACTGAACCAAGATCTGCAGATCTGGGAACCAAGATGGTGGTTCCCAGCCACCATCACTTAGCTTGAACTTTTTCTTTTTCTTTTTTAATGAATTCAGAACTCACTGACTTTAATTCTAGTATTACAGGAGCTACTATAAGAGAACTGAAGGAAGAAAAAAGCAGAGAGAAAGGAAGAAAGGAGTGCCTAACTTAAGATTAATCTAAAGAGTCTAGAACAATTAAAAGTGGAGTAAATGATAGGTAAGGGTAAGAAACAAGGATCAAAGAGATACTGTTTTTACTAGATACTAAAGAATAAACATCAGAAATATCAAAAGCAACTTCAAGCTGGGCACTGATGGGTCACACATGTAATTTGAGAATCTGGAGATCTGAGAATCATAGTTCAAAGCCAGCCTGAACAGTAAAGTCAGTGAGATTCATCTCCAATAAACTACTCAAAAAAGGCAGAAGTGGTACTGTGGCTCAAGTGTAGAATGCTAGCCTTGGGAGAAATTGATAAGGGAGTTAAAGCCCTAAGACAGTATGCACATGCGCGTGCACACACGCGTGAGCGCACGCACGCACATATACACAGAAGGCAACTTCATCTCAGGTACCTGTGAATAAGTGACATAAATATGGGGCACAATAAAAGTACTTTTATCAATATTCCAATAAGCCTAAGAATTTCAGGGAGCCGGACAACAGCCTAGGTAACAAGATTAAATATTTCTTAGTATACAAAGTTGGAGAGAGAAAAACCACAAAAAACAAGGGTAGAACAGTAGAGGCTAAGGACATTGCCTGGAGTTTTAACACTCCAGGTGACACTTTACAAGAAGCAGAAGCAGCTATGATTACACATTTATTTTCAGCACAAGAGTACTAAGGTAACACAAAATAAAACTTAAAAAATCTTTAAATGATGAAACATAAAGTAGGGAATATCAAAGTATATAACAAGGGTAAGGATGGGATAGGGAAAGATGGGAGAAAATGATGTATGGGATGACATTAATCAAAATGCACTGTACTCATCACCTGACTTCTGGAATTGAACCGCCCCCCCCCTTTTTTTGGGTCGGTCGTGGGGCCTGAACTCTCGGCCTGGGCACTGTCCCTCAGCTCTTCAGCTCAAGGCTAGCACTCTACCACTTGAGTGTCAGCTCCACTTCCAGCTTTTTTATGTGGTGCCGAGGAATTGAACCCAGGGCCTCATGCATGCAAGGCAAGCACTCTACCACTGAGCCACCTTCCCAGGCCCAAACCCCTTTATTCAACTAGCTAACAAAAATAAACATAAATAAGTAGAGCCCCAGCTGAGTCAGCAAATCAGACCAGAATCCGAGTTCAAACCCCATTATCACAATTAGAAGGGGGGGGGGGGGGAGAGACAGAGGGAGGAAGGGAGAGAGGAGGAGAGAGGTGGGGAGGGAAGGAGGGATGGGAGGGAGGGAGGGAAGGAGGGATGGAGGGAAGGCCAGAAAGGAAGTTTGCTTTGAAGAGATAAAACTTTTGCCCTGGTTTCAATACTGTATAATTTATAAATGTAGCCAAACATCACTCTATAGTATGTACAAGTTTTATACTATTATGTTAAAAAATATAGTCGCTTGATTCATTATTTAAAATGTCTTGATCTTGGGCCATCATGAATCAATATCCTTGAATTGGAAAATAAAATTGTTAATTTTTTAAATGTCAAAAAATAAAATGAAATAGGGAACATCAATTAAGACCTGGTGCCTTGCGCTGCTCTCCATGGAAATTTGTAAATTCATATACTACCAAAAAGGAAGAAACACTAATTCTCCCCAAAAATCAGACAACACAGTGGCACAACTGACCACTTGATGAGGTTGTCCACCCAAATTTAGTAACTAGTTACGGATCCTAGCAGTTGGCACAACTGACTGACATCTTGGCTGGTGTAAATAAAATTGTCTGGGCCCAGTCTTTTCTGTATGCTAAAGTTTACAAGAAGTATTTTGAAAGCTTGGTTCCTACTTGTCTAAGTTTCTGGATCTGATCAAACTAATGTATTAGTCAATGGATAGATTCATAATTTGATGACATTACTGGGAAGTGATAGAAATTTTCAGGGGTGAGACTTAGTAAGATGAAGAAGACCACTAGAAGATATCACTCCTAGTGATGTCTAAGTCCACTCCTTTCCTACTGTACTGTATATGTACATTCCCTTAAACACTATAATGCTCTGCCTCATCTCAGACCCAAAGCAATAGAGCCAGGCAATCACGGACTACAATCTCTGTTATCCTGAGCCAAGTGTTGTCTTTATTCCCTTTATGTTGTTTTCTGGGGTATTTGTTATCACAATGAATAAGTAAGTAAAACAAGCACCTGTGGCTCATGTCTCTAATTCTTACTACTCAGAGACTAACATCTGACACTTGAGGTTCTGAGACAGGACAGACACATTTTTGAGACCCTTATCACCAGTTAACTCTATAATAGAGGTATGGCTCAAGTGGTAGGGCACAAACCATGAGAAAGAAAGGTGAGAGAGCACCAGGCCCAGAGTTCAAACCCATACTGGCAAGAAAGGAAGAAGGGCTTACTACTAGACAGAATTAGTTATATATTCTCCATCTGATACCACAAAATTTTACTGCAAAAGTAGTAAGTCAACACTAGTCCCTATCCCACCTGTCATTAATTTCAGGGAAATACAAAATTTATTGAGTACTGGGCAGGGTTTAGTAATGTTTCTCCTACTAACCTGAACTTTAGAAAAGTAAAAAAATAAAAATGTGAAGGAACCAACCCAGATGCCCCTCAGTAGATGAATGGATCAAGAAAATGTGGTATATATACACAATGGAATTCTATGCCTCCATCAGAAAGACTGACATTGCCCCATTTGTTAGGAAATGGAAAGACTTGGAAAAAAATTATATTAACTGAAGTAAGCCAAGCCCAAAGAAACATAGGTCCCATGGTTTCCCTTATTTGCTATATCTAGTATATGTATGAGTCAAGCAGAAAAGGTCAGATAAGGTGATGTTAGGAAAATGAACCCTAAGATATGTATTTAAATGTTTTTTTTCTTTCATGCATTTGTTTCTAATGCATTTATAAAATTATTTCTTTGTTGCTTTGTATGTCCCTCCCCCACAGTATAACCCCTGCTTTCACTGTATTTGATGTCAGTATAATTTGTGGAGGGGAAGGGGAAAAAACGGGTCGTTTAAATGGGGATACAGGTGGACCCGTTGCAGCAATGAGAAGTACAAGTTGTCAAGTCGAAAACGAACTTTACAACTTTGGTGGGGGGGAGGGGGTAGGATTGGGTGGGGGGGTGGGAGGAGGCTGGGAAGGGATAGGAAGGGTGAACAAAGGAGGAGGCTACAATGCTTGATGGGAAATGTATTCATTATCTTGCCCATCTAATTGTAACCCCTCTGTACAGTATGTTCACAATAAAAAAATAAAATTAAAAAAAATGTGAAGGATAAAAAATTTTCCTTAATAGTGGTGAAAGAGGACCTTTATAGTCAGAAAGATGACCCAAGCTGTCAGAGGAATATCAGAGAGGCCCTTTGGCTCTGATGGAAGGGTTATTCTAAGAAGGAAGTTATTTGGGATCTTTAAACTCTGGTTTGTAGACTTTAATCTCTTTATAAACTTAAAAATGAGAGATGATTCAAAAGTGGAAATATTTTTCTGTCTGTGCTAGTTCTTTTTTTTAAATAAGTTTTTTTATTGTGAAAATACCATACAGAAGGGTTACAATTACATGAGCAAGGTAATGAGTACATTTCTTATCAAGTATTGTTGCCTCCTCCTTTGTTTTTCCCCAACCATCCCTTCTCTCCAATCTCTACAACTACACTCCCCAAACCCAAACCCCCGCCAAAGTTGTAAAGTTCATTTTTTCGACATAATGACTTCTACATCTCATTGTTGCAATGGGTTCACCTGTATTCCTATTAAAGCAATTTGTGTTTTTCCCTTCCCCTCCACAAATTATACGAACATCAAATACAGTGAAAATAGGGATTATACCATGGGGGAGGGACATACAAAGCAACAACAACAACAAAAAACCTTATAAATACATTAGAAACAATAGCAAAAAAGAAAAAACCTCTTGTATCCTTATCCTGGGATTCATTTCACCTAACATCATCTTATCTGACCTTTTCTGCTTGTCTCAGACATAGTCTAGTTATTGCAAATAACGGAAACCATGGGACCTATGTTTCTTTGGGTCTGGCTTACTTCACTTAATACAATTTTTTCCAAGTCTTTCCATTTCCTAACAGATGGGGAATGTCATTCTTTCTGATGGAGGCATAGAATTCCATTGTGTACACATACCACATATTCTTGAACCATTCATCTACTGAGGGGCATCTGGGTTGGTTCCCTATCTTAGCTATGGTAAATAATGCTG